GAGATTGCTGGCTGCTATTTATACATTTGTGCCATTCCAGTGCAGTGTTTTAGCTCTGCACAGTGCCACATGTCTGACAGCAGGCAGTGCAGCAGTAAACAAAGGATGAAAAAATGCCTTTTTTGGCTTCAAGTATCATCTTGTAGATTAGCTCAGGACATTTGTCCTTGCTGCCACAACATCATGCTTATTGTTATTTCCTCACAATTTCTGCCCCCTATAGTGGTCTGAAGAATAGATTAGTCTAATTAAATTATTTTCTTTTCAGAGGAAAAGGAAATGGGTGATTCTCATCTACACTACTGCTGTGATACTGTAACAGAACCTTCAGTCATGCTCCACTAGTGTCATGCTAAGCAAAACAATTCTCAGGTGTGCATCTCATTAGGACTGGCTCTTATATGCTAATATATGACTCACACATGCCTTTGATAAGAAAATCTTCAAAAGCCAGTGAGCTAGCCACTCAATCCCTGAAGGGGGTTGGGGGTTTGGGGGTGGTTAAAAGGAAGGAAAGGGTGCTTAATGAAGACCTATCTTCAATAGGTGGACTTCAAAGTCTGTGTTGCAAGGTCAGGGCCTTGCACCTTGGGGGAAATGACCAAGTGAACCACCTGCTGTAATGGACACCTTTTTGTTAATCCTTGGGTGGAACCTTTGGACAGGGTATGAGGGGCAAGATGGACCATGTTAAGCCATTTATATTTTGTGAATGATAAAAAAAACAGGTCTTGTTGTTACTAACCTAACCTTGCCATTCTTCTTCCTTAGTCTCTTTGAATTTCTTTTAATTAAATTCAATGTCTGTTTTTCTAGTCATTAGTTAAATGTCACAGATGGTGAGATGTCAAAATTTCAAATGGTCCTTTTTACATTTTTTACACCAGCCAGTTGGATTGGTGTGTGTGTGTTTAAAAAAGAGTAGGAAGTGCAACAAAACCACTCCCAGACTTTCTTTTTCACTCCCTCTCTAATTCCTTTTAAATTTCCAATAAATTTTGTCTCGCCTCACCCTCCTGACTGCTAGTGTAGCTTTGATGAAGAACAGATGAGTTTCTTTTCTCAGCCGGTGCCCCTGCTTCTTCCAAAACAGTGAGTTAAAGATGAATTCACCTATTGTGTGGTGAAGCTTACAGGGCTTCTGGTGATTAGGTTGGATCAGAGCAGGACTCCTCTCCTGTTGTTGCTGTGTTGTGTGCATAGGTTCTTTGTGTCACATGATTTATTGTTTTTCATGCTGACTTCTATTTTTCCCAAAGTGCTCAGCTGTCTGTTAAAACCCTGTCTACGACCACTTGGAATGATGTAGAAATGAAAAAAATCAGAGCAGCTATGGAATTAGAAAGAAGACAATCTGCAGGTAGAAAAATTCTTGGTTAGATACGCAAAACTGTTCTTCGGCTTTGCGTGGTTTTACAGGAAAGAGATACCTTTCATAGCAGTGATACACTGATGCAGTGTGATAACATAAAGAAAAGAAAGTACAGGAGTAATCAGATTGCATTTTGCACATTTTTTCATGTCGTCATCTTGGGTAACTTTACTGGCATTCAAAATATCTTGCAGAATCCCCCTTAAACATTCTATGTTGCTAACACTGTGTAGAAATTTCATTTCTACATCCTTGTCCACAGAAAGAGCCCTATGACTTGTATTCATTTTACAGATTGTATGGAGCACAAAGTCCTTCCCAGTACTGTTGCACTAACCATTCCTAATAACTAATAACTAATAATAAATATTAGATTTACCTGTCCATCAGGACTGAAATAATGACAGAAACTATAGATGGATTTTTGGCTCACTTCTGACTACAAAAACACACAAAAAACACGTCATCATTTCAGGATTCATCATCTCTCCATGTATATGAATATTAAAGTTGTGACTGAGACAGATTAACCTGTTTACAACATGCACCTCTTCCGTTGTACGTGTTGTCACTCTGCCTGGAGGAAGCAGAAAACAGCTTGCATCACAGCAGTTTCATGCAACCGAGATCATTGCTGTCACAACCACAAGCTTCTGTTTTCCACCTTTAAACTGGTAGAGACACAGCTATAGACACTGATTAAAAAAAAGTTACACAACGTACAGTTATGTGAAAAAGAAAGCACACCTTCTAAGGTTTTATACGTCAGGACATAATAAAAAAAATCTAGTCCTTATCACCCTCAATAAATACAACATCAGATGAACAACAACACAACCCATATTTGCAAAACAAATTGTTTATGCATAGTTTTATTTGTACCATAGGTATCATATAAAAAAGTTATTCTCAGATACTAAAAATTGTTATCAGATTAGATATTCATTTACAACAGTATAGATAAAAAACAGTCCCATCTTTGCCTCCTCCAGCTGACACACAGCTTTACCCAGCATGAGCAGACAGAAATAAAGCCCTTTCCCGTAACTTGCAGCTGAGCACATGAATACTGGGCAAAGCATCTCAAAGTTCCTGTTTTGACAGCATCCAAGTATTAAGCAGTTATCTTAAATGGTAATCTGACCAGTGCACACCTTAACATTAGACATTTAACTATTAGCAGTTATCAGATTGCCACATTAGTTGTAGGTTATAAGTAAGATAGCAGGTAGCAGCTGTGGCGAATTAACAAAACAATGGCATTAGTGGTGGCACTAAGTAGCACTTCCTCTCTGGCAGTTCCATCCTTTGTCTAGTATATCCACTAACCTTCTATTGCACATTTCCAACCCATCTCAACCTTATTCCACTTATTTTGTCTTAAAAAAGCTCAACCTGACCTGTCACACTGATATACACATTTTTAATCTTGCCCCTCCTTTTTACTCCTAACTAAAATCCCAGCATTTATTTAACTCTGCCACCTCCAGCTCAGCGTCATATCTTTTTGTCAATACCATAGTGTCCAAACCATACATCATACCAGCTCTCACCTTCTTGTATACTCTTCAGGCTTGCGTCACTCTCTTCTTTATCTCTCTTGTGGATGGTTGACCGCAGGTATTTAAACTCATCTACCTTCACTGTCTCTAGTTCTTGCATCTTTGCCTTTCCACCTGCCTCCCTCTCATTTACACACTATCTATTCTGTCCTGGTTCTACAGACTTTCATCCTGTGTCTCCCAGTGTATAGCACCCATTGTAGTCCACAGATACCATGGAGACTCCAAACTGACCTCATTTTTCAGCATCGCCTTTGCAAACAAGAAGGACGTCAAAGCGAATCTATGATATCATCACACCCTCACTTTGAATCCATCTGTCACTGCTACCAAACACCTCACTGCTGTCTTGCTGTCCTAATATGTGTCCTACATGACCTTGACATGCTTCTCTGACATGCTTCCCTTCTGATTTTATCTATATTTCTCCCCACAACACTCTCAAAGCAAACATCACATTTGTATTGCTGTTTCTCAGCATGAAGCTATGCTGCTGCTCAATAATCACTTCTCTCCTACTCATCTGCATAACTCCACAGGCATGTTATCTGGGCCAACCAGTTTTCCACTTTTCATCGTCTTCATAGCTACCTTTACTTCCTCCTTGCTAATCCTCTGCACCTCCTGATTGACTAACTGTCCCTCTTTCTCTCATTTTAATCATCATCATGACTTCTTCAAATCTTCTGATCACATTCTTCACTTGTCAGTAAATTTCCATCTCTCTATTAATCATCTATCTATTCTATCTATTAATCCAGCTCTGCGTTTCAGTCTCTCTGCCTCACTAATTGATAAAAGTCATTTTCTCCTTCCGTGTCCAGCTTTACATATAATTCGCTATAAGCCCTTTGCTTTGCCACACCTAGGCTCCCAGTACTCCTGTCTGCTTTTGCCATAAACTTGACTTTCACACTATTTCTTTGCATTCCTTTGAATATTTTCCTTCCCTTCCACATTCCACCACCCAGTTTTCTGTCTTTCCTTAAGAAATCCAGAGGATACACAAGATACCTTTGTGGTCGTTTCCCTCACCATTTCAGCGGTCCTTTCCCAGTCATCTGGTAACTCCTCCCTACCACACAGAGCCTGTATCAACTCCTTCCCTGGACTCTGGAAAACATTCTTCCTTCTTCGGATTCCTCCATTTAATCCTTGCTTCTGCTTTCATTCCTTCTCCTTGATTTCTATCTTACTAAATCTATTGATCAGGAAAAAAAAATTACACCAGTATTGTAATCTTTCTTTTAAAAGCTTCTTTAAAAGCTTCTTTTTATTTTTTCATTAAAATTTTCCCTATAGTATTGAAAATGGCATCATAGCAACACTACTTTGTACATAGAGGAGTTCATGGTCAGATCAGTCCTTGCAAAACAAGCCCCTCCACTACCATGCTTGACAGTTAGTATGGGGCGTTTGTGTTGATATGCTGTGGTTGGTTTCTGCTGAACATTGCGGTATGGTCTCATCTGTCCAAAGGAAATCGTTCCAGAAAGCTTGTGGTTTTGTTCAGATGCAACTTTGCATTCGTGAGCGGTGCTGCCATATTCTTTTTAGAGTGAAGAGGCTTCCGCCTGTCAACTCTTCCAAACAGGTCATACTTGTTCAGTCTTTTTCTAATTGTGCTGTGATGAATTTAATATGCTAACTGAGGCCTGTAGAGTCTAAGATGTAGCTTTTGGGTTTTTATGCAGTTTTTCAGAACATGACGGACTCTTCATAGTTTCCAAAAATATTTTAAAAATATTTGTGAAGTATTGTTTGTGACACTGACAAAGGAATGCCAAGAATTAACGTGACATAACTAACTTTAAAATGCAGTGTAATGGTGCTCATTTTGACTAATAGATGAAAATGTGTGATTCGTCTTGTTATGTTCTCAATACTTTCATGTGTTCTCCTTTTTTTTCCCTCAGAGAATTTGGAAGGTCTTCAGGAGGTGGTGCAGCAACGTTTGGCGGAATTAGTTCGCATCCTCAAAATTGTCATTGGCAAACACCAGACGCTCAACTCTTCTGACATTCTGGGAGCAGCTGGCACAGTTATTGCTAAGGTCAAAGGTGAGTAGTTTCTCGCTAGTATGCATGGATGAGACACACAGTTGAACTTGCACACTGGCACCCAGATGATGGTCAAATATAGATGCGTGGAATCTCACGATTGTAACACTGATGTCAGCATATGGGTATACGTCAGTCTCTCAGATCGGTGTGGCAAATACGGTGCTGGAATATTACACTGATCTCTGTTTGGTTAGGGTCGGCTTGGAGAAATGTTACTAAAAGCTCACACTGTAAGAAGTTGTTATTCCTTAAGCAACAGATCCATTTCCTGTCTCACAAATGAACACAAACAAAGGGAAGCTCAACTGAGAGGTTAATCTGCTGGAATTGAGATCCACTGCAAGTGTAGTTCTTCTCTTGATTTGAACTCAAGATAGATATATACATATTTCAGCTAATGTGGAAGCCTTCAACAGAACTGATTGTCGATCTTTACAGTCGCATTTGTTCTTTTGCTTTCTTTGTTCTTTGTTTTTACCTGTGTTGTAAGGTGTCTGGATGTCTGACAGGTCACCTGGCTTATCTCAATATTTGTGTTGTGACCTAATCCTTAAAAACACTCAAGAATGCCTGTTTGTAGCCTGAGTGTTGCTTTGACAATGATGAGAATACAAAAGGGAAACAAAATAGACAGATTAGCCAAAGAAATTATAGGCACTGTGAAGACTGATCTTTACTGATGGCATGAGTCATAAGGACAAAGAATTACACCAGCTTAGTTTAGACATATTTATGCAGCACAAAGATTCTGAACAGCTGCAAAAAATCTATTTTTTTTCTTTTAATCTCAGTTAGAGAGTAAATTATACATATCAGATTGATTAAAACATTAAATGACTTTGTTGATGTAATTTTAAATTTTAGAATATGTGCTGTCAGTTATATATTCTAAAAGCTATAGCTATATTTTAAATATCAGAAATTTTCAAAAAGAAAGATGAAGTAGAACTGAAGTGAAGAGAAAGTAAGCACTAGTGTGAAATTCATATCCATACCCTGATATGAGCTAAGTTGGGTGGATCCCTAATTAGAAAAATATTTCTCAAAATATTTTTCACGTCCTGGCTCTCCCTATGGTAGCTGGGATTGGATCCACTCTTCCCACAACCCTGATGAAGACAAGCGGAAGAGAATGGATGAATTTTTGAATTTTAAAAACCTTAACTATTTTTAAGTATTCAGTAAAACTAAAACTGGACAAGAGTACGCATGAATCAAGACCTTAACCAAGTTCATTGAGTCATTTGGTACTTGGAGACAACAGTTTCTTTCTTTAGAAAAGGCATTGCTTAGTTGTGGTTGGACTAACAGTTCTCCAGTTAATGCCACTGCTGAGATTAATGTGGTTTAAAAGCTACGTGCTGTGACAGAGTTATTTTTTAAATTGCAATGGTCCACTTACTTATTTAATTATTTATTGTTGACCCACCTGCTTTGGCTGCTTAACAAGAGATGGAGGCCCATGGGGAACTACATTGCTCCACTTCTCTCTGAAAACCCTGGCAAAACCAGCATGCTGACACGTGGAAACCAGGGCATGTAGTGTAAGATTGAAAATGAAAATAAAATCAACACTTCTGTCTGATGTCAGGCTTGTGTCATTCTGTACATGGCAGTGTGGTGTTGATCCTTATGTGTAAAGCTCTGCTATAGAGTGTTGCATTAAAGCCAGTGCGTTCATATGTAGTTGAGTTTGGAGTTTGCCTGTCCACAAGGGGGTGCCTTATGTCAACACTCTCCCTGGTTGAACTGTCCCTAATGGCCAGTAGGTAACACAATACTGACACAGGCTGCTAGCCAGAGGATCGAAAAGGAGAGGTTGAAAGAGGGATGAATCAGTTAGACATCAGATGAAGAGTCAAAGGTCTGGATGATAACAGGCCTTGTGTGCCTCACTGTCTTCAGACCGTGTCATCTCTTCGCCCATGTTCCTCTTTGAAGCTTGGTCATGGCACCTGGAGCACTGGGACAGCTGCCAAAATTCACTGGGAAAAAAAATTCCTCCTTTCTTCTTCAAACACATGGTTGTCTAACCTGTTTCATGTGTGATATGATCTGCTCATGCTCTTACTATTGTTTTTCTTAATTTGACGCTGTGTCGAAAACTTGACAATGTCAGAAACATGTTGTGCTCCAGTTCAACTTTTAGCCTGTGTCTTTGTGTGTCGTCACAAAGATAAAAATCTTTTTCACAGACTTTCATTGGCTCAGAACAAACCAAGTCAAGCGTTCTTTCCTGGTCACATTTCGTCTATGTGTTCCTTTTCCCCTCCCACTACTGAAAACTGCAGGGCATTGCAATAAAAGTGTTGACTTCCTCAGCTTATTGAAATTCTTTCCTCGCTTTCTGCTCCCCTTTGTCTATAAATATGCTTACAGCTGAAAGAGTGTGTTTGTCTAAAGGAGTCAGTCTTGTGTGTTCGTGACAAAGGCGATCTTATGTCCCTGTGCTCCTTATTGTAGAATGATTAAATTGATTTTAGGAAAGTGTGTTATTTACTGATAATGGATTCTGGGGTTTTTGGGGGATTTAAACACAGTTGTTGTTTTAGTTTTACCTAGTAATAGAGCCAATTACATTCAAGTAACGTTGGTGATGTGCTTCCAATAGAAACATTGAGACATCTAAAGTCAGAATGATACACCAGCTTTAGCATACTTTTTCCTGAGCTAATGTTCCTACTTACAGCTAAACCATGAGAAAACAATGGGTCCTGCACTTGAATGATGCAGTTTCCATATTTCAGTCATGACAAGGGGGGCTGAGCTCTGGAATCATTGTTAAAGGACCCACAGGATGTCCTGAGGAAGAACTCCGCGCTGAGTTGTACGCTAGCATTCAGGGCCAGTGAGGTGCACGGCAGGGAGGTTCGCACCACACCTCCTCTCTTTTTGGTGTCCTCGAGTGTCTCCCTGGAAAGTGGGGTTGCCTCTTCAAGCCAGGATGCCGTGACTTTTCTGTGCTTCTTCATAAGCTGGGACTTAATAGTTTATGCTTTTACAACTGGCATGGATGGAGATTACTCACGATGAGAAAATGAAAGCACAAAATATAGAAAGTGTTCTCGAAACGAGATCTGTTTAGAGATTTTTGGTCCCAGTTGCTAGACAACTGAGGCGGCAAGGAGAAAAGGTAAGTGTTGAATATATTGCTACATGTCACAGAACTCAAGCTGTGTGAGTGTTTCCTGTTGTGGGGCAGACAGGAAGTACTCAGCTCAGTCAGATTTCACTGACTGTGCCTTTAGCTGTCCTGATTATTTTCTGCAAGCGTGTTCTTGCTGAGTTAAGTGTTTTATGAGAAAGAAAGTTCTGTGTACATTTTATCGAAGATTTTTCAGTCTTGGATGGATTTCTAGAGTCAAAGGACATTTTGCTGTTACCAGATCACAAAGGAAGGAATGAGATTGTGTGCATGTGTGTAGTTTGATTATTTTTTGTGAATGATCAGCGTTGGAAGATGGCCCCAGGGATATTAACACCTTTAAATGGAGGAAGAATTTCTGTAATTGTTTTTGTAAATTCTTTGAATATCAACCTCTGAAGACTTTTGAACCTGCTCCAGGAAGACATTTTGATTGGGTAGGGAGATATGCAGGCTGCACGTCATTGCGTTTGGCTGCTTCTACTCTTAACACGGTTTTTAAGCTGTTCTTGTAACATTTCTATTAAACCTCTTGACCTTGTGTTACTGACTTTTTATACATCCTCAAGTATGTCAGCACTTACTTGAAGCCACTTAAACTTATAGAGGCGTAAACACTTCCTGCAAAAGCCTAACTATGATCTTAGAGGCTTACACGGGTAAAACAAGAACAAATGTGCTTGCCATTGTTGCTTTTTTAATACTAATTTTAGAATTTTTTCACAGGTCACTCATTTGATCTGTTTGGCATTTGTTTTTTGCTTTGGAGGCTATGAACTTGTCATCTAGCCACATACAGATTCAGTTGTATCAGTGCTATTGTTGATTGATTGTGTATACAAAAGCTGGTTTGTAATTCCATTTTGTTTGACCACAGTTCCTGTATGTCACTCTCCACAGCTGTTAACTTCTCCACAACCGTGAACCCAGAGAATAAAAAAGTTATATTTGCCGAGATACACACATCCATTGACACTTTGGCATTCACATTCGGCAATGTGTGAGTACAATGCTTGTTTACTTTTTTTAACCAATACTGGATTTTATTACTTTTTGTGTTGTTGTCAGGAAAGTTGGGCTGACTTTAGAGCTCAAGACAGCAACTTATTGGTCTTGTGAAGCTATAATTGTCTCTGTCATGTATTTTGAATAGCAGGTTTGGGCTTTGTTCTGTGTTTTTGGTGTAAATACTATCTGTCAGAGTTGCTTTGTTATTGAATAGATTGCATTTTTGACCACAGGCGTTTACATGCTTCTCTTTTAAACTGGATTCTGACATATATGTATATATGTACACAATTATATATACCTTTAGAGTTTCTGACTTCCTTATGGGAGATGTGGACAGCAGCCCAGGGTTGGGGATCGCCCAGAAAAACAGAAGCAGGGTGAGACACTATCTTCCTTTTCCCAGCTTGCACAGTTTCCATATATCTTTTCTAAAGCTTTGTTTTGACGGTGACAGTTTTCAAAGGGGTGCACTTAAAGCAGCAATTTTACCCCGCCCCCAAGTAAAAAAGCCTCAAAGACTTGCTTTCTGTATTTAATTGGGTTGTTGAAATCCCAGCTGCCTCTGATGTCTGACTTTGATTGTATGTCTGCTGTTCCCTCCTTATAATCTGAAATGTCTTTTTCACAGTCTTCTGACAACCTCTCTGTGGATCCCGAGGGATATGTTTCAGAGAAAAGGGAGCTTGTGGGTAAGTGTTGTTCACGTTTCATCATTTATCTCTGCGCAATGAATATAAAATAAAACATCACCCTGATATGTAAGAGCTATTAATGGCTTCCTTACCAAGCATTTAATTGTTGCTGTCAGAGCAGCCTGAAGTGTCAGTTTGTGTGTTAGCAGAGTGATTTAGTGTTTGGACTCTTGAGTGCCTGAGGTAGACCCGCCTTAAAACCTCTGCTTCCACCCCTGTTATTTCTGCTGCCCTTTTCATACTACATCCTCATTTTTTCCTCTCCGTCCACATATCTGACATTCCTTGCCTGTTAAAGAGTAGTTCTGTGTGGGATGGGAAACACATGGGATTTGTGTTGAATCAGATTCCGAGTAGCTAGAAAAGGTTGTAAAAAGAAAACGCTGCTCTTAGACTATTTTAAAAGATGCCTAGTCCTTTCATATCCACCTACACTGACAATGCCGCTGACCTCATTGTTGTTTTTCTTACCCCTTCATTTACCTCCCACACACACACACACACGTCTGCTGGATAGTAAAAGTGAGTTCCATCAATCCAGCATTGAGATATTTTAGTCATACTACTAAACATGTGGATTTCTCTTCTGTTGACTTTACAGGCTCAGAAGTGTCACAGCCACGAGAGGAGGAAGTTGACTTGACCTTGCTGAAGAATGACAGTGGAGTTGAGTCCGCCCTACTCTATGCCAAGACCTGCTCCAAGTACATCAAAGATCTTCTGGCCTGGATGGAAAAACGGCTAGCCATGGGTGAGACTACTGACAGTTTATTAGGTTGGAAACAATGGATTACTGCACAGGGCTTAGGACATTATATTCGATTTTTTTTCCAGAAAGAAAATGCTGCCAGTATAAGTCCACACCATCTGCACTGCAAAAGGCAGATAAATAGAGTTAACAGTAAAGTATATAACTGACCCATGGACAAAGCTAGAGGAGTTTTTGGAAAACTGTTTCTGCTGTTATATTTACAATATTATTTGTCTTCCTCAGACTCAGGGGAAAGCTAGATTTCAGAAGAAAAACTCTTTCCATTTAGACTTCTCAATGATTAAAATCATTTTAATGTTTTGCTCAAAATTATTTTTACATTTAAGTAATTCAAAAAATAATTTCTACCACGCCTTATTGTCAATAGGCCATTCTTTATTATATTAGACAATTACATTAACAAAAAGTAAGGCAGTAGAGGGCTACAAATTGACTAGGGTAGGGCTTTAATACTTAATACAGAATTTCCTTAAGGATTAATAAAGTATTATCTATTTATGAACTGTATGTAAATATAGTTTTGTTGAGTCATTTCTTATTAAGCAGTCTTAATTAATTCTCAATTTTTCAGATATTGAGAATGCTAAAAGCTACGTCAAAATGGCTGAGTCTGCAAAAACACTGGCCAGTCAAAAGGTAACTCAGTAGCCACGCTTTAAAGCAATATTGATTATATTGGCTGGTTGTTAGGTCTTATACAGTAACCCCAAAGACTCATGTATACATATTTTTTGTTTGTTGAAGGACTACATGCCATTCAGTGACCTCTACGTTTCTGCATTCAAGAAAGACATGGAGTACAACCAGCTGCTTATTCAAACCTCCATGACTCTTCAGACCAATAAATTCATGCAGGTAAGAGTAACGAGAAGTAAATTATGGCCCTTCACCACTTTATCTTGTCCCTAACAAAGAACATCTGTTGGGTTATTTCATTGCATAAAATAATCTGTAAAAGTACATTAGTTTATAAATTGTGTGTTCTTTGCCTCGTTTTTATTAACAAGTAATACTGAAGTGTAATTGTTGACTTTCATTTCTTCTCAGCCTCTTGTGGCTCGCAAAAATGAACTGGATAAGCTGAGGAAAGAAATCAAGGAGCAGTGGCAGAGGGAGCAGAAGAAAATGGTATTTACAGAATCACTGTGTAGATGTTGTTTGATAATTACTCGTAGCTAAGTAGAAGAGCTCCACTGTAGTGTTACAGACTGGTGAGCTTTCCACAGAGCATGTTGCAATGTTATCAACCTGCCAGGAGATTAGTCATCAGTGACTGAGGTGGTGTTTCTATTATAGAAAAATGTCCAATTTTCTAGACGATGGCAACAAACGAACTTCGGTGTGCCTTTTTAAACGCAAAGCTGATCGTCCGTCAAACGTATCTGATTAAATTTATGATAACTTTTGAACACATATGCCACATTTTAATCACATGGTCTTTGTGGCTGATCTGTGTGGCTTTGGCAGCAAGAGGCAGATGCAACCTTGCGAAAGGCACGGGTACTGAAGACCCAGAGGAGGGAGGAATACCAAAAAGCCCAGTCAGCAGCAAGTCGCTCTCAGGAGGATCAGTCTAATGCTGGGAACAAACAGCTGGAGAAGAAGAGAAAGCTAGAAGAGGAGGCTTTACAAAAGGTGGGCGGGAGAAATGAAAACAGAAAAAGTAACTGGTGTCAATATTTTGTGGCATTATTTGGTATGGACAGTAATTTTTCTGTGCGCATTTCTTCTCTGTCCTTATGCTATTCTCTGTCCATTGTTTTGGGTAGGCGGAGGAGGCCCAGGGCCAGTACGAGAACTGCATAGCTGACGCAGGGAGCAGGAAAATGGATCTGGCTAATGCGAAGAGCACTATCCTGACTCAGATCCGAGAAATGATCTTCCAGTGTGACCTCACACTAAAAGCTGTGAGAAGCAGTTTCTATTTTTGAAAGAGTAATTCAGACTGTACAATCACTGTTTTAAAAAAAAGCGTACATCTTATATGTAGACCACAAAATGAAACTGTAAAACTTAAATATGTTATCACTTTCAGTTTAACTGACAAACCTTCACAAAAGCTGGAGTTCTGTTTCTTTCTGTGTGATTTCATTTCACAATGTTTCTCCATAATAACTGAAAATAGAAGTAGCTTGAATACTATATAACTGATATCTGTATTATATACTGCCCTTCTTTAGTTTGGGGTTAAAAAGAATTATGAATTAAAAGATTATTTTATATACATTTTAGAGGAGGGTTGAAATATGGACTGTGACCACAGTACTGGGTAATCAATTCAAATTTCAGAAAGGTCTCAAATAGTAAAAGCTTGCTCTATATATGTTTAGTCAGTGTTTGGCTGTTTTCTTATTTGGACTATGAGTCCAAGTATGATCGTAATCATTACAGTGCCATGAAAAAGTATTTGACCCCTTCCTGATTTGTCTGTTTGCATAATTGTCACAGTTAAATGTTTCAGATCATCAAACAGATTTTAGTATTAGACCCAAAGATCATCTCATTAAATAAAAAATGCAGTTTTTAAAAAAAATTTTATTAATAGAAAATTGCTATCCAAACTTACTTGGCCCTATTTGAAGAACTAATTGCTCCCTAAACCTAATAGCATTTGCGACAACTGGCAATGAATCTTTCACATCGTCTTGGAGGAATTTTGGCTCACTCATTGTTGCAGAATTTTTTTAATTCAAACATATTGGAAGGTTTTGGAGTATGAATGGCCTGTTTAATATCATGCCGAAGCATCTCAATCAAATTTAAGTCTTTGGCTAGACCACTCCAAATCCTTCACTTTGGCTTTTTTGAGCCATTCAGAGGTGGACTTGATGCAGTGTTTTGGAGCACACAAACTGATGGCTGGACGTTCTCCTTCAGGATTTACTGGTAGACAGTTCAAGGTTCTATCAGTTATGGAAATATGTCCAGGTCCTGAAGCAGCAAAGTAGCCCCAGACCACCATACTAGCACTATGTTTGACTATTGGTTTATGTAGTTGTTTCAACTTAATATTTTCTTGATTACTATCAAGATGCTTTTGGACAAATGTGAGACGAGCCTCTATGTTCTTTTTGGTCAGAATCGAAACTCTCATGGATTACTCTTCGAGTAATATGGTTGACCAGCCACTCACTGGGAAAGTTCACCACAGTTCCAAGTTTTCTCTTTTTGTGGATAATGGATTATGGTTCACCTGAGTCTCAAATTATTAGAAATGGCTGTGTATTTGATATAGACTGATAGATGCCAGTGACTTGGTTTACCATCTCTTATTTAAGTTTCTTTAGATTGTGGCGTGATCTCTTTTTGTCACACAGGTTCTAAATAAGTGATTTATGGATTTCGCAGTCTGGCAGTAATCAGCTCTGGGTGTGGCTTTTGAAAAACTCAGCTTTGCAAAAATTCTGGTTAATCACAATTCATTTATGATTTAAAAAGGGAAAATTACTTTTTCACATAGTGCCATGTAGATTTGGATAGCTTTTTTAAAAAACTGTTTACAGTTGTTTTGGCTCTCTTTCTTTATGTGTCATTTGCTGACTCATCCAGTTTAAATTTCTTTTTGTTTTTTTGGTTTCAGGTGACAGTGAACTGGTTTCAAATGCAGCAGACACAGACTGTGTCACTCCCTGCACACTACCAGGCCCTCAGTGAGAATGCCAAGTTGTATGAGCCGGGCGAATGCTATGCAGAGTTTGTGCGTAACCTGTCCAAAAATCTCCCTAAAGAGCATCTTCACTCCGACTCCATCTCCTCCGAAAATACAAGGTATGAAGGACTATGAATGCAAACTCATATCCTAGAATTTTTAAAAAAATTTTAATGATTTATTGGTCCGCTAAGAGGGAAGCTTATAATAAAAATGGCTTTGAAATGATTATGCATAACATGAAACTAATGTTTTTAAAATCAAAACTTCCTAGCTTTGTACAAGTACTTTTAAGAAGGACCTGCTTGTTATACTTTTTTGTGATACTTTATTGCAGTTTAAAATTTGCCATAATTCAGCAGAATGTTGTACATGTTGCCATAATATGTGATCATTGGATTTAATTGAGTTGACACAGACTGTCTGTAAATAGACTCACAAGTATTAGTTGTGTTGCATTTTTGGGTCATTGTAACTGAAGCTTCATTTTTGGACAGCTGATTTTGAAAGTACCTTTTGCTGTCGCTCACACCCCTTTGGAAGTTTCTCAGTTCTTCTTTCAGCAAAGGTTAACAGTGAGTCAGAGTTGGAGCGAGAGAAAGAAACTAGGAGAGACAGAATGCGCGTTGAATTTCTTGCCCTTCCTCAGGAAATATCTGTGGCTCGGGCTGAATGCAGGAGGGAAGATTGCGAGCGTGAGAGTATGGCTCTGGTTTGGAGGAGTCCCAACACTATGTAGTTTGTCTGAATAAGATAAATGCTCATTATTACAAAGAAAATAATACACACTAAGTTAATAGAACAATTAATGATGCTGGTACATTACTTATTATTAGTAAATTACAGATGTTGCTACAGACTAAAATAGCTGTCTGTCTGGAATGTGAACTTAGTACTTAGCTACGTTTGTGCTTCCATTTCTCTAAAGGCATTTTTAACGTGACATTATGTGTCGTAGCCGTCTGCTCCTGGGCCTAATTTCAGTTTCTGTTCCTTAATGTTGTCTTTCAGTTTTTACCAGAGCACAAGTTACTTCTGAAAAAAAGCCTTGATAATAACACATAACGCACACACACACAAAAATTGTATGACTTTTATCAACATGTATTTATAGCTGTGCAATTAAAAAAGCCCTGCCAGATCTCTTAATTCTTTTCAGTTGTTGTACTAACTAAATATTGCTGAGACTGTATACGCATGATAAAAGTGTGCTTAAATCTTGTATTTAAATGCATTAAAAACATATCAAAGGAATTCTATTCTGAGCCAGAAAAGCAAAAAACCTACGCGCCAGGTGAAGTAAGGGTTGAGTCAGCAGTCCTGTCCAAATGCGACCGATACACACTGAAATGTAATAATGCTGAATAGGGCAATAGGGTTTAAAAACAAAACAAAACAATTAGTCATAATCAAAGTTCTAATTGAAAGCCTTAAATACCAACTTTATTTCTCAGATTTGGCAGCAAAAGGTCAGTGGGCAGCTATCATTCCTCCCACGGCAACCTGTCACAGGCATCCACCACCTCTTGTGACGTGTTGAGCGGAGAGGAAACAGACAGTACCATACATCGGCCTGCAAAGATCAGTGAGCACAGATCCAGCAGCAGCACAGACATACAAGGTACATTCAAACACATGTTAAGTTTATTTAACTTGCTGATGCACTTTGAAAGTATAATGGTCAAAAAGAATGGTTGTTGTCTGTGTCTGTACAAGAAAATTCACAGAAATTCCCCTTTGGTGTCACATTAGTGCTATAAAGAGGAGTCTTAAAATAAACCTTTATCCAACATAGCTATGTACTATTTTAGAAACTGCACAATTTTAGAAACAAGCTAAGAATGATTGGCACTGTTGCTGGAGGTTGAATGTCTTTATATGAACCTCTCAGGGACTTACCCTGTGTTCTGAGTCATGGAAATGTTCTCTTGACTAGAGTCAAAACAGTTTGGGTTGTGTGTTGCTTAATCACCATAAGTCTGGAATATCTGTGTAAACTGCTTGTTTCTGAAAATAAGTAAAACTGACACTACAAATGTCGCTTCACGAGCGGTTGCCATGTAGCTTTATTTTCTGTTGTTATTCTGTTTGTGTGTGACTGCGGGTCTGTGTGTGCTTTTGCAGCTCTAAGAAACCAGACCCCACTGAGAGCATGGGGCTCAAGTAGTCAGGGGAGCCAGGGTGGGATGTGCAGTGACTCAGAAAGTGCTGGAGGCAGCAGTGAGTCAAGGTCCATGGACTCCCCCACTGCCAGTCCAGGTAAGAGGACTTTAAATTTTAAAACGTCTCATAAATTCATTATAAAGGTCTTGTGAGTGTTTGACCAGTAATAACTGAAAATGATCACATTAGGCAGGGAAATGAGTATTTGAGGATCTGGTTATAAAAATATGAATATACGAGACAGTAAAATAAAACTTTTATCATATTGGACACAGTCTAAGTGATCTGAGAAGATGAACAGATATGGCTTTTACTGTGATCTGTTCACTTTATCTTGTGAAATATTCAGCAGTAAATCTACTCGTGCATGGTATAGCTTATGTTTTTCTCTAGTGTCCCTGATTTTGCTCTTGTGTGGTAAAACTACATTTTCATATAGTAACTGAGCATTTTGGTACACATTTGTTCAGGCGACTTTAAGCGCCGTTTGCCCAGAACTCCTTCCACTGGGACCATGTCTTCTGCTGACGATCTGGATGACAGAGAGGCACCATCCCCCTCAGACAATGGTGAGATATGTTTGTAATTGTGGGTGTGTTTTGTTCCTGTCACTGTATGCTCTCTGTGTACCCTTCTGCTCAGGAGGATAGAAAGGTAATCATTGTATACCTTTTTGTGACAAGGAAATCTAGAAAGGGATGGAGAAATAGTTAGCGACCATTGCACAATTCTTTATCACGTATTACACATGGCGGTGTTCTGCTAGTCCAAATCTGTGGTGGTTTTTGCTTAGATCAAATGTTTTTATACTCAGTGGCACTGCACAGATAGAGGTCGTGTTAGTTTTGGCTGATAGTTTCAGCTAACACTTCCTGTATCTGTGTTGACCTCATCCAGTCATTGTGTTCTTACTGTGAAATTAAACAGCCAATGAGCTATTCGACCTATTTTTCAGTGTGCATGGTTAGAAAGCCCATTTAACTATAAAAAGCCACCATAATAGCAGATTTTAAAATAATTATGCTAACTAGAAGATAGTGTAATTCTCTTACAATTTAGGTTTTTGTTTTTTGTTTTTTTGCTTTGAAGTAAATGCCAGCTTCCCTTCTAATAATAACTCTGAATGATGTCACTTGTCGAGTTAGTTCCTTTCCTCATCAGCGGTTCTGTTTTTTAGGTCTGGCAGAGATGGTGACAGAGACCTCCAGTTCTCCTGGTCCTTTCCGAAATGCTCAGATGTCCAAAGCTGCTCAAACCCATAAGCTAAGAAAACTTCGAGCCCCGTCTAAATGCAGAGAATGTGATAGTCTGGTCGTTTTCCATGGAGCTGAATGTGAAGAGGTACAGTAAATATGCTCATCGTGATAATTGTCTTGTGTATTAGGTGTTTATAAAGGATCAGTGTATTTTGCAATTCTGCAGGGAAGACACAAGTTAATTATACTGTCACTTCATTTGACTAATACTATCTGTCTTTTACAGTGCTCCTTGGCCTGCCATAAGAAGTGTTTGGAGACACTCGCCATCCAGTGTGGTCATAAAAAGCTACAAGGCAGGCTACAACTGTTTGGTATTGATTTTGCCCAAGCAGCAAAAAACAGTCCAGATGGTATCCCCTTTATAATCAAGAAGTGCACTTCTGAGATTGAGAGTCGAGCCCTCAACATCAAGGTAAGTCTTTTTTCCCTGTGATGCAGAGATGGTTACTTTTACTACCTCATCTCTTATTGTGTTGCAGTTTTATAGCTATAAAAGTTCATGTGTGACCTTAAATACAATACCATTGACTTATGTATCAAATATTTTCTGTCATTATGAGTTACATTAAAAAATGCATTGGTCTGTGTACATCTCACAGGGCATTTATCGTGTGAATGGTGCCAAATCACGCGTTGAGAAGCTCTGTCAGGCGTTTGAAAATGGGAAGGACTTGGTTGAGCTGTCTGATCTCTCCCCTCACGACATCAGCAATGTTCTCAAGCTCTATCTTAGACAGGTGGGCCTGAAATTCTTACTTGTTGGGAGGTTATTGAGAATTAGCATGCCACTTAAGTTAAAGGTTGTTTATGTTTAAAGGCTGTTATGATCTGAAGTATTGTTAAGTTAATGTTAAGTCGATCATTTAGATTTTACCCTTACTTTATTGTGCTTCTTTCATTTGGATTTAGTTTTTTGGGTACATGTAAAATGACTTTAATAGCATATTGATATTTTCCACTACAAGAAACTCAAAACACTTTGGTTGTTTTACTCAGTTACCAGAGCCACTGATCCATTATCGATTCTACAATGATGTCATCGGTTTGGCAAAAGAGTGCCAGAGGGTGATAGTGGAAGAGGCTGATAATAAAGCTCAAAACAACCAGCCAAGAGAGAAGACTGGGCCGAGTATGCAGCTGAACAGAGTCATTTTTAAGATCAGAGATCTCTTCCGCCAGCTGCCCCCAGCCAACTACAGGACTCTGCGCTACCTGATCGCACATCTACACAGGTAAAGGCTGAAAACCAAAACCCCGAGTTATTTCAGAGTGTAAATTCAGTCTGTTCCTCATAATTAGAATAATATGTGTAGTTCCTCATAACAGAAAGGGAAGCAGAGACTTCTCTGTAGCATAGCAGAAGTAGCAGGCTTACTAACACAAAATTAGTTCTCTGTCGATCTCATTACACGCAACTTTAAATTTACACCACCATTAATAAAACTCTAAATAGAATATATATACTTTAATTTAACTTAGTTGATGTTCTTACTTGATTTGCAGGACTTTTAGACCACGGCATGACAGAAACATGCAATTGGCATGTAGATGATAGTTGAGGTTTTGGTAGTTGTTTCAGATTCTCAGTGTCAAAGGTGATTCGCTGAAAACTATTATCACATCTTGTTATCCAGATCAATAAAGGGACCGATGCTGCTCTACAGAATGTCGCTTTATGTCTCATTTTGTTGTGTTTCATTAATAAACAGATACAGCAATACTTGAACCATACCTAGAAAGATGTCTTTTTCAAATGAAAACTGTTATCACTCCCACAGAGTCTCAGAACAGGCCGAAGAGAACAAGATGACTGCGAGCAACCTTGGCATCATCTTTGGCCCCACACTGGTGAAGCCACAGCATACAGATGCAGAGGTGTCTCTGTCCTCCCTGGTGGATTACCCCTACCAGGCACTGATGGTGGAGCAGCTGGTGAAACACTTTCAGACAGTCTTTGATGCATCTTTCCTACCTAGTTCTGACACAAGCAGCGCTGGCCAGGCCTCCCCCAGACTTACCCCGCAGGAGAAGATTCGACAGCTTAGCAGACACTCAACCTCCCTGACTGACATCAAAGAGGTGAGGAGGGATTAAGGCAATCATAAAACCAAATTTGAGTCATTTTGTTTATGCTGTGATTAGGGTGTAAAGTGAAAAGAGGCCATATGTGCCTTTAAAATGATCTTTCCCAACAGTTCAGTGTTAATAAAATCAACTTTAATACAGTATATTAATGTAATCAAAAAGATTCAGTATTTTTTTAATTTTTTTAATAGAAATTACTCTATGGCACAATTAAAAAAAACAACAACTCATCTATACAAAACAGTAAACAAAAAATTCTCCCTCCTCTAGGTTTCAGGTGTTTTTGTTACATGTAGATACAGTTTAGTTTATTGTAATCTGTTTATATCATTTCAGAGCACCAAAATCTACAAAAGATACTCATCTGTCATCCCATCATCTCACATCATGGGTGAGGTGCAGGAGGTCCGACCAGGAAAACACAAAATAGGGGTCTCGACATTGGACAGAGTCAACGGGGTCCAGGCTTCTAGTGGAGGAGATGTTCAGAGATCAACCTTAGTGTTTGGTCGTCCCAGCACCATCGTCTCCTCTGTCACCACCATGGCACCAAAGGTACAGCTGCGCCACCAGCGCGCCAGACAAGCGTCTCGACCAGTCAGCATGCCACTGGAACGCCTGCCCGCACCAGCTCAAATCGGCGAGAGGAATAATCGAAACACCAGCGATGTTGTTGATTCAGGCTCTGTTAAGCGGGAGACCATTGCTGAAACTATACAGGAGATGCCAGAGCCAGAGAGGGCTCGGCAAAGTGGCTCATCCAGGGTTAGTACCTACTACATTACTCCTTTTATTGACACTCAGAGGAGGACGTGGGACAAGAAGTACAAGCATTATGATGTTACACCCAGGACTGCTATGATAATGGCCAACCTACCATCTGCCAGTTCTGGAGTGCAGCCTGTAAAGGCAACGATACCTGTTAGCAATGTTGCAACCCCAACAACTGCGTCTGTGGTTCCAACGACGAGTAGCGTTAGCACCGTATTCTCCAGTAACCTTTACACATCGTCACTCAAGTCTGTTTGGACCTCCAAAAGGGAAAATGACACTCAGAGTTCACTCCGCGAGTCTAGCAGCTCACCAAACCTTCCACTAACACTCAGGGCACCGAGGACTCTGCACCCTCCTTCTGGAACTTTCTACAAGCCCCCTGTTTCCAACAACGGCCGTGCTACAACACTCCCAAACTGGAATACTACTTTAACTACCGCCACCACCACCAGCTTATCATCCACCCCCACCATCATCTCCACTACCATTACTTTGTCACCCACCACCAACATCACCATCATTACCACATCACCTGCTACTACCACCACCACCACCACCTCATCGTCTTTCCCCAACAGCCCTGTTGAAGCAGCGTGTCCGTCCCCTGTCCTTAAAAGCCCCACACAGACGCCACTCCAGACTCAGGACTCCACTGACAGTGCCATAGACTCTGGGGTCTCAACCTCTGCTCCCATGTCACCCCCTCAGTCTCCTCCCCCTAGCAGCCCTGACGACCTTAGCCCTAGTGAGAATAAACCTGTTTACCAAAGACTGCGACCCCGGCGGCTGCAGGAGCTCGAACACAGAGAGGCTCATTTTGTCTGACACCAAAAAAAGGAGAAACAAACAAAAAAACTCATATGATATCTGTAAATATTACTTTATCACAGTGAATGCTGGGGAAAAGATTTTTATCACCAAGCTGAGCATGGAAGGAAATGTCGACCTGTGAAAATAAACCATAAAAGTGTTATAAAAGTGCTAATATATTCTTTCATATGTCTAAGTCAACAGCAGCTGGTTTAAGCGCTCAAAATGTCGATGCCAACACAATCGTTTATTGCCACATTTTTAAATAAATAAATTGATTAAATGTATGACAAAGAAAACTGGCAACAAATCAATTTCTGTCTGAAACGAACTTTAAGCCTATCACATTTCTTCTTGAATATTTGATTTATACAGAAATATATTTTACACACTGCACTTAATAATCCAGGTTCAGATTCTGGGGTTCTTTTCATTTTTAAAAATTAGTTTAACTCCACTAGGAATAGATGTAAGTACTTCAAGCATGAGGGTTCTTACTGATAAAGAAGTCAACATTTACATCTTTTAATGTGTTCATAGCCTGTGATTGGTACATCTTTTCTCAGCATGTAAATCATTTGTATCTTTGTACATTTTTATATTCATTGATGCATATTCCATGTCTGTCACAAAGGTTGTGTTTATTCACATTTTTGTGACTATACGGAAGACGAATGACACGCAACAGTTCCTGCTGCAAATTAAAAATTTGAAATGACTCTGTTTGAGATTGAGTTTTGTTGTTGTTGTTTTGTTTGTAGATTTCTGTTCAGCGCCCTGGAGAATCAAAGTTATATTTAAAAGGTTGTTTTAAATTTATTGCTTTATGCTATATTTATTTGGTGTGTGTCTGTTTCAGTTTCCCCTCTTACTTATAAGGGTACTCACTTTTTTCTTCTTTTTTATCTCTACACAGTAGCTTTAATGTGATACCGTCAAGATTTCAGATTCCCTTCACCTAATTTCCCATGTCACCTACTCCACCTTGTCGAGCTGCTCAAAACAATGAGTCATTTCAGAACTGAAACAAACCCCCTTGTCTCTGAGTCTGATCAGCTCCTGTGTCACTCAGTCCAAACTGATTTATTATGGAGGTGCTTAGCTGAAAGGCTTTCTTCCAGAGTGATGTGCAGTGACTGTGCAGGTAAATCTTGCTCCTTTATCTTTCTAAAAGCACACTGGTTGCCGCCGTGATGAAACACATCTCCAGTATAGGATGAAACATCTCTCCACCTGGATTCCTCCTTTCCTCTTCCGTAGGTATCCCCTTAATTCTGCCTCAAAATGGATGACGGTTGTGTTTTTTCTGCTTGCCCATGTTGAGCTGGGAGATTAGAGCAATCAGATTAGGAGTGCTGCTGACCTGCAGGCAGAGGAGAGGGAGTGGGCAGCTAGAAGGCACACGGATCTCTTACCTTGCTTAATTTTTTCCCAATACTTCAGCTTGTCGGTGAACCTGTTTCTCTAGATGTCGTTCTACTTTTCTATCATTCCATAACAGGTAAGGATCTGTATTTACTTGTTTAAGCTTGTTGTTGACTAAGTTGTTTGGAAGATCGTGTAACAAAGAGATATGGCTGCTAATTACTGTTTGGCTTTTAGATTCACTCAGAACATCTTGGTATTGATTTGCTGTGACCTTTCTTTAAAGGGATGAGTGGACCCAAACTGTATCAGAACTGCCCCCATATTCCAAAATGACTATTTTTCTAACTTGCATAAAGGTAAATGACAAATTTAACAACAAACAAAATAAGACTTCAGACTCAGTGAAGGGTGTCATGGCCACTGGTTATACTTGAGGGAAGCTTAGCCAGTTCGTACACCTGTGGGAGATATTGGAGCGGTGTGTTAGGGGGTTTTCTCCACCATCACCACAGCAAATGAGGGACTATCAATGCAATAATTGCAATGGTGTTCACTCTGACCAATAGAGACATAGAAAGGTGCCTAGGTACATTAAAGCTGTTCTGGTGGGACATGGCAGACCAGTGCCTTTTAAAGTGATTTATGCCAGGGGTTTTTTTCTTCTTTTTTTCAGCTTTTTTTCCCCAAAGATGAGAGCAGAAAGCACAAAAACCCCCAAAATTACATCCAGAGATGTCACATACATAATGATAGCTTTTACTCTCCTGTTTCAGTCTTACAGCATCCCCTGTTTTCCAGACAGGTGTTCATGCGCTCTGAGGTAATCTGTTGGACACGTTGCACTGAGCAAATTACTCTTCATGTCCGAGATTTTCTGAAGCACCATCTGCACATATCCTGTATATGTCACTGGCATTTTCCCCTTAACATCTCCCTGAAAATTAATTTGCCTTTGGAATACATCTGCATGAGAGTAGGTTCAAATTGCAAGTATAAAGCTTTATTTGTATACACGCACAAAGTCATGTAAATACATCCTGTAACCGTGTCTGTTAACACATATGGTAGTTAATAACATCACCCATTGCCACTGCAGGTAAAATTTGTCCTTTTGCATTAATTAATAGAGGTTCAGTGGTTTTGCGGAGCCTGTCAGGGTTCTGTGTGTTTTGTGAATTAATTATCTGCAGTTGTAGTAAAACCTCTCATAAACCAGTTCAAATATAAGTCTGATATGAAATGAGCACAAGACAAAATCCAGCCCAAGACAAGACGTGCTCTTAGGGCTAGATCCACATATGGGTCTTTCTGAACTCCAATAATTTGATCTAGTTTGTCTCGTGTCTTCGAAATAGCTGTAGTAAATGTCATCACTAATGGAGTTATGTTATCTACAGGTTTATTAAAGTCTGATGACCCCTTCCAGGGGTTGAGCTGCAGAGCAATGAAGACTGGCTCTCAAGTCAGCCTGTTACTGTGGAAAAACTGGACTCTTCGAAAGAGACAGAAGGTAACACTTTTTATATATATTGTATATATAGAAATAAATAGTATGAGAACAACAGAAACACAACCAAAACAATTACCATAGGGTTTGAACATTAATATACATACATATATATATATATGTATAATATATGTATATATATTAATGTTCAAACCCCATGGCAATTGTTTTGGTTGTGTTTCTGTTGTTCTCATACTTCACGGTGTATGACTGTATCACATCTGTCTATCCAGATCCGCTTCCTGGTGGAGATCTTCTGGCCAGTGTTGCTATTCATTGGTTTGGTGTGGCTGAGGAAAGCCAATCCACTGTACCAACAACATGAGTGTAAGAAGAATTCACCAATTATGCATCAAGTTTTCAAATTAGAAAAGAAAAGAAAAAGACAAAATTGTATTTGCTGAAATTCCTTTCTTTCCTTGTAAAAATAGTATCCCTTTACCCTTTCACAGTTCTGTTAACATCAAATCACAACCTCTCACATTGCCTCTAACGTAGTCTGTGTTTCTTTAGGTCATTTCCCCAACAAGGCGCTGCCCTCTACAGGGATTCTCCCTTGGATTCAGGGCATCTTCTGCAACGTCAACAATCCCTGCTTTAGATATCCAACCCGAGGAGAATCCCCAGGCGTTGTTTCCAATTATAATAACTCGGTGTAAGCATAACTCAGCTCTTTTAAACTTGGTAAAAACCACTTTTAACCTTATAAAAAAATGTTTTGTTTTGTGTGTTTTTTGGGGGGGGGTTATTCCAGATTGGCGCGATTCTACACCAACATCCAAAAGCTTCTGCTCAATGACACGGAGGTCCAACAGCTTGGCAGGCTTTGGCATGAAATGTCATCATTCTCAAACTTCATGGAAACTTTACGCAACAATCCGTCTGCAGTCTCAGGTGAAGTCAAAAAAGAGGAAAGTGGCCAGTAGACGTTTTTATTAATAAGCTGACAAAAAACTGACTATTGAGAACAAGGTTTCTGGACAGATGTGAACCCAAAGGTGCTAATAATTTTCCTTTTAAGAGACATTAATTCTTAACCTAACATAAACAGAAAACAGCTTTAAAAATATTTATTTATTTTGTCCAATTTCTGTAAATTACGTTATACATTTTCAGTGCTGCATGGATGCAGGCTTTAAAAATGTCTTTTATTGTAGATTTTGCCACTTGCTTTAAAAAGTACATGACATCTACACAAAAAGATGGTGGTTTATAAACTTCCCTTCACTATTTTTCACTTTGGCCTTTTAATCCTGGGTAATTTGCACATTATGGTGCTGAGTCACATGCCGTTTTTTATGACTAGGCCCAAAGGCATACCCGAAATGTGTTCTCAGTATTTCTTCCTAAGAAATTAGCTTTAGTTTTTGGCAGGGAAATGTGCATAAACACCCGTCCTCACTGCGTTTTCTCTGAAAATCTGTGTCAATCTTTTCTGCTGTGAATCATTTCCTCAGCGCAGTGGGTCAAAGTTATTTTTTGCTGATTTTGACCTTTCGCTATCTCTGTTCATGATTTTCCGTTTAGGTCGCGGGCTGAAGGTGGATGATATTTTGAAGGATGATGAAGTTCTCACAGCCTTCCTGTTAAGAGATGCCGGGCTCTCGGAGTCTATAGTTTATCAACTTGTCAATGCACAAATACGACTTGAACAGGTACATCTTTTTAGAAAGATTTTTGCAGAGGTTAATGATGAATTTTTGCAGAGAATCAAAATTAAAACCATGCTTTACCTGGATTGTGGCAATTGCACTTGTATATAATGTCTTTTTAGACATTATATACATTATAGTAACTTACTGAATATGAATACAAATATTTTGATGCTGTTTTGCAGTTTGCATTTGGAGTCCCAGACCTGCAGCTGAAAGACATAGCATGTAGTCAGGCCCTCTTGGAGCGTTTCCTGTTCTTCCCCACTCGCATGGGACTGCATGGGGTCCGCAATGCTATGTGTGCCCTGAGCCAGCAAAGGCTCCAGAGGATAGAGGATGTCCTGTATGCTAATCTGGACTTCTTCAAGATCTTTAAGCTGGTTAGTAGCTTGTTTTAACTTATACAGTCAGTCTTATACAGTCATCATTCATATCACTAGGTGATGATCTAGTATGTCTAACAGCAGATGTTGGTTCCCACATCCACGCACTGCTCTCTATTGAAAGACTGGTCATTATAGATACTCACACATTCACTGATGGATATCGATGTGCATCTCTTGTGTTACTGTATTGATTTTGCATATTTACTCTGCTTTGGAATGTCAGGATGTATTAATGCATTAAGTCGTGTACATATTTATATTATATATTATTTAATATTTGTAAGCACTTTAATCTATCAAAGTCTGGTAGCTTCACAGTTCAAACCTGAAGCGATAAATGTGGGTCCAAACTGTCACAATTTCTGGAGGCAAATCGTGCGGAGAGAGAGAGAGAGAGAGAGGTGTGGATCCAAACGCAGACACAGAGGGAAACTGAGCTGAGATGCGAACCAATAGCGGACCGTTTATTTAGCTGCTGATTGATTACAGGAACGAAACTGAACAGTGACTTGACTCAAACTGAGATGACCTTTACTTTGGCTGTGACTATGGGAGAGAACATAAGCAGACAACCAGACAGCTAACAGTAAGAAACACGAGACCTAAGTACACTGGAGGTTAATTGGGAAAGTGAACACACATGGGAAAACAGCTGACACAATTACCCATAATGACACAACAGGGAAGTGTAAACAAAACACATAGAAATGCAGCAACAAGAGGAGGTAAACCTAAGAACTAGAATTTGCAGAACAGAGAAGAACTTGAGTGCTGGAAGTACAAAACAGAAACCATAACACTAGAAGTCATAGCCATAAATAAACCCAAGAACAATAGTAATCATAATAATAGTAATACAAATTCCAAAACCCTGGGTCACTGACCCAAGACCATAACACAAACTCAGGCAAAATTGTCCTACACAGTTTTAGAGACACACACTGCTGTGTATTTTCCGACTGTTTCAGGCATATTCACTGCAAGACGTTTTCAGAGAGAATTCATTAAATTTTGGCCAATAAATACAGCTCAAACCTGGATTTAGTCGGTGCAGACCAGACAGTCACTCATCTACAAACCTATTATATGGACTTTTTAATATTAGCTGCGGGATCAGTAAAATGGATGTAGTGGAAGATGGAAAGTCTTCACATCTGGCATTTAGTCATGGAGTGCCACAGGGTTCTGTGCTGGCACCAATACTTTTTACATTATACAGTACATGGTTTCCTTAGGCAATAACAATATCAAGTACCACTGTGTTCATTTCCATTGGTTTACAGATGATACCCAGCTTCATTTCTCAGTGAAGCCAGGTGACACAAATCAATTAGCTAAACACTGGGAATCTTTTTAAGACAAAACAAAGTTATTATATAAAAATAATGGATCTTACCTGGTGTCTAACCAGACATATACCCTTGATGGCATTACACTGGCCTCCAGCAAAAGTGTGAGAGCTCTTGGAGGCAGTTTTGACCAGGATATGTTGGATAGTGTGGACATTAAACACATGTGAAAGAAAGCAGGACTGCTTGCAATATCTCTTAAATTAGAAACATCCCATCTTAGAGTGATAAAAAAAATAGTTCATGCATTTATTAGGTCTAGGCTGGATTATTGTAATTTGGACTATTGTCATTTATTTTTATGAATTTGTTCTAAATGTTCCCAGCAAATACTCAAGTTTATCCAAAGAGTACTAACAGATCATACTTCATACAGAGATCACATTTCTCTCATATTAGCGTCTCTTTACTGGTTTCATAATGAATCCACAATTTAATCTAAAATCCTTCTCCTCACACACAAAGCTCTGAATAATCAGGGCTCATCGTATATGAAAGACCTCATTGTACCATTTGATTGCAACAGAGCACTTCACTCTCAGACTGCAGGCTTACTTGTGGCTCTTAGAGTTTCCAAAAGTAGAGGGAAAGCTATCAGCCCCGTCTCGCATGGTACCATCTCCCACTTTGGATTTAGGAGACAGACACACTTTCTAGTTTTAAGATTAGGGTTAGGATCCCTTTTGATAAAGCTTACAGTTAGGGCTGGAATAGGTGTCTCTGAACCATTCCTTATCTATGCTGCTGTAAGCTCAGACAACTGCAAGACTTCATGTGATACACTGACTACTTCCCCACTCATTTCTTCTTACTCACCATATGTTTGTATACCACTGCAGCATGTCATTACATTTTTGTCTACTCTCTCCCTTAGTGTGTGTTTTGCCCGTCTCTTCTCTTTCTCCCCCGCCAGCGGGTTGTGGCATATGGCTGCACTTCCTTGACTCTGGTTCTGCCAGAGCTTTCTTCTTGTTAGAAGGCAGTATTTTTTTTCTTTCCACTGCTGCAAAGCACTTGCTCACAGGGGGCTGGTTGTTGGCGCTTTCTCCAGAATACTGTACAGTTGTTACCTTATTCTATAAATGGCCTTGAGGGGACTGTTGTTCAAATGTGGTGCTATCTAAATAAACCAGAATTGAATTGAACTGAGCTGAATTGGTACTGTCCTCAAAAAACTTCAAAAGTGAGTGCTACAATACCAGTAAATCTTCTCTGTAGAAACTGTACATGTATGTCGAGGTTTGCATAGATATCAGTGCTGCACGTGAGGCCCAGTAGCTGGCTCTAGCAGGGGAGTCTGTAGAAGTGTTTGCTGGTTTTATTTTAGGCACTGGCTCTCTTTAGAAATGTTCGATTATCTTAAAAGCATATGGGGACTAAAACAGACCCTTTCTTTTTTAATAACACTTGTATTCACCTGTGATTATTTGAGCAAGTGGTCCTCAACTCAAGAAATGTTATCTTCATTTTTGTCTCTTGTCTCCTTGTTCTGCACGCACACACAAATAGTGAAACAAAGAGTATAAGATCCACAAAACAACAGCAGGGACTCTCACGCTCATCTGAAATGATAAGTTTCACATATACAAAATGCACCTGAACTTTTTTTTACATTATTAAACAGCTAACAGTGTATAACTAGTGTTAGCTTACGCAATAGGAAAAAGATTTTTCCTAACGTGTAACAAAAGATTTGTTTGTTGAGACAGGAAACCTGGCTATTGGAATATATGTAACTGACACTGTAATTGACAATCAAATTAGTCATTCTGTCCATACTCTTCCATCTTATAAATTGCATCGTATTTATATGATATCAATGTCAAAAACTCCATTTCACTGCATGTCCAGCTGTAAATGTTGTACTCTCTCTTTATCATATGTCTGTGTTGTTCAGCCTGGGTGAGTCAGGTGATTGGCTGGGGGAGTTTACATGGCATTATCCTTCTTGGCCTGTTTCTTTAATGGGCTTAGAGCCTGCCTGCAGACTCTGTGGTATTCAGTAAGACAGGATGCCACTTCTCATACATATATTTTGAGTCAACATAGCTGCTAGCAAACCTGGTTTATATGGTTGCAAAAAACCTGACAAATAGTGCATCTTCACAGTGTTGCTGTGGCTTTAATTACCATTTTTTTTAAAGAAAATCCTTGGAATAGTGAAGAAGTTGCTATAAATAGCTTGCAAATTAGGGTCAATTAGAGACTACCCTATATTTAGACTTGAGAGATGTATGTTGTCAAATATCTTAGAGATGGAAAATCTGACCTAGAACCTTAAATTCCGCCTTTTGCCCTATGGTAACTGGAATAGTCTCCAGCCCCCCCCCACGACCCTGACAAGGATAAGCATAAGAGAATGGATGGATAGACAGTTTATGTGTGGGAAATCTGATCTCTTAATTTAACTCATTAACTCCATCGCACATCATGCCCATTACCACATTGACCTTGGTCTCATAACAGCTGTCCTCCCATCATTACACTCTTGACTCCCTTCTTGCATCAACTTTTCAGTGCCCTCCCTTCCCACTCCCTTGCTTTCTCTCTATCCCCCTCACCATACTGCCTCCCTCCTTCCTTCGTTCATTGAAATTCAGGCACGAAGAATGCGAGAGGAAGGATATCTCATGTGTGTGTGTGTTTGTCTTGGCACTCCTGGTTTCCTTACCCTCAGCACTCCTGCCCTGACCAGTCATTTCCTAACACCTACTGTTAATGGTTTCTCAAGAAGATAATGCCACTGAAGGATGCGTAGGGGAGTTATAATACGTAGTTCCACATCAAACAATTGGTGGATCTCAAGTTTAGCACAGGTTAAAAAAAATATGGCATTTTCTGTGCGTTTGATGTGGTTTTGCCCAGTAGTGTATTGCTTCAAATTCCTGGAAGTTTCCTGGAAATCACTTGTGACCAGATATGAATTTACAAGTCACAAGCTGAGATATTATATGATTTAAAAAGAGCAGTAATGGTTATAACATAAAAGAACAAAGGACCAGTTGTGTTTAAATCCCCCTTTATCTGTAATAATCTCATTTTACTTTAATAGATCTCCTGTTTTGTTCCCCCCTAGATGCCTCAGGTTTTGGACAGAAGCTCCGTGGGCATTGATCTGCATTTCTGGGGCCAGGCTTTTAAGGCAACATCAGCGAAGATCCAAGATGTAAGTAGTCCAAATGTCATCCATCCCTTCTCTTCTGCTCCTTGAGTCTCTTCTTCTTCTCAAGCCCCCAGTATCAAAGGCACTAGTATTTTTAGTCATGCAGGAAACTCGCCTCTTCCGTTGCTCCCCGTTCAAGAATCACTTCCAGAAGAAGCTGAATGATGTGCTCAATACTGTGAGGGTTACATGTACAGTATGTGTTAAAAAATACATTTTTGCAAGTGCTTTGTGAGCTAAAAATATGTCTGTTGTGTATCTGCATACATGTAATGTATATGCATGCACATGCATTATAAATGAATGGATCTGAAACACTAACTACAATGGAATAGAACAGGGTTGAAGAGAATACAGTAGATACTGTAGATTACATTTTTTTTCTACAAGAAGAACACACGTGGAATGGAAATGTAAACACATATACACACACTTGTGCAAATGAAGGAAAAAAAATGTATGAATGAGAAGATAATTTTCATTTCATTTCATTTATTTATTTATTTCACACTTGGTACAACAGATCAAACAATGAACAAATAACTGAAAAAGTAAAAAGAAAATGGATGATAAAAAATAATAAAATCAGCTTTCAAGAACTATCACTATTCAATTAAAGTCAGAAGAAGGAGACATAGTATGCTGACATGTTGTCAACAAGTCACAGCCACACAGAAACACTGATACGTTATTACACATCTAAAATATTAGACTAAAATAGAATAAAACTAAGAGAGTCGACTAGAACAAATACGGTAGAACATAATTAAATGGGATGTATTGGTTTATATATAACAAAAAGCACAAACAGTATAAAACAGCATTGTAACACAATAGAGTAGAATAATGTCTGTGTGTTTATCAGGCAACACATACACACAAATCACTGTGACTGAGATGTGTGTTTAGGCACGTTCACGGTTTGTCCCAAGGGAGAGCGTATCCCATCATCACCTTAGCCAGGGGTGAGAGAGAAAGAGAGAGGAGGGTGGGAGGTAGAGGGAGGGAGGAAAAGAGGGACATTCTTTTGAGGTGACACATCCTGTAGGTGGGACCTTCGTATCACCGTGGTGACAGAAAGGCGAGCCAAAAGCTCTCATTACCCACCTCTTCTTCCTTTCAGTTCAGTGTGTGTGTGGATGTTTTTGTGCGAGAAATAATACATAAGAAAACAGAGGAAGAGATAGTGAGCGCAACAGACATGAGGGGTGTGTTGTAGCATGCTTATGTCTGCGCGTGTCCACATGTAAAAGGTAGCTTTGAGTAGGAGTCATAAACAATCATCACTCAAATATGATTTGAACCAAAACGCTCCTGGAGGAACTCAGTCCTACCAACATGTAGGAGCAACATGCAATACAATTATTGATGGCCTCCTTCATTATCTTCACAGAGGAAATTACATGTAGCAAGGAGAATTGCTCTCCTGGTTGAAGCTATTTTTGTTCTCTCAATAGGAGGATATTTAATCCACCTTGCAGCTCAGCTCTGTCCAACTTCTTTGCTTATCTTTAAGCTATTGTTTTCTTGTGACTGTTTATACTTAAAAATTCACAGGGCATGAATGAGTATGACAAACATAAATATCCCTGATCTGTGTATAATTATCTGATGAAGGTCAAATAACTCAAAATGGATTGTTTACACTTTCCAGCAATACCGAATAGTTACTCATCCTGCTGTAGGCCAGAAAATGTTTGGCCGTACTTCTCAGCAATGATCAACAGACACGCCAGACTAAAAAATATATAAAACTTGAAAACTAACAGCCAGTCAGGGTTTGAGATACAGCATATAAACCATTTGGTGTTAGGGGTGTGTACTGTATATTAGACAGAGGTGATTGAACTCTAGTTTATAGGTTAAAGGTGCTTTAAATCCTAGTTTTATTCTGACGATAGCAAATCCTATTTCCCGACTTGTGTTATCCGAGTAACCAACTTGTAAATATAAGCTATTAATCATGTTCATATCTTCTTTATAGTTTACACATATTTTACTTCATGTAAAGTGTTACCAGTATCTCATTTTCTCTGTGTGTACAGGGAACTCACTTTTTAGGATGTGGTCTGCTTTGTTGACCTTTCCACCAGTAAAATCCAATTTCCGTTTGATTTGGGCTCACCTTTTTTGTATTTTGCATTTTGTGATTAGTGCTAATTGCAGAGTGTGTTCACTGTGACCATGTTAGCATGCTAATATCGAAGCACTGCTATAGATACAGCCTCATGGCTGCAGACTATCGGATTGTTTAAAAGTTTAACTGGGCCTCTCTGTCTTGCGCAGATGATGGAGCAGGAGAGCTCTCAGGAGCTCATGAAAGCAGTGTCCTCCCTGTTCCAAACTGGGGGTCCTTCCTCTTTCACCCAGTTGATGTCCAGCGTGTCAAGTCTCTTCTGTGGATATCCTGAGGGTGGGGGCTCTAGGGTCCTGTCTTTCAACTGGTATGAAGACAACAATTATAAGGTGTTTCTGGGGGTCAATGGCTCCAAAAACCACAACTATGCCTATGATGATACTACCAGTAAGTAAAGAGGGATTTTTAAAAAATATTCTACTCAAATACCTGTACCTGCTGTATATGATAGCGCTATATATGATAGTGTTTTGCAGACACCACAAGTAGTTATAGTATGACTTTTTTGAAATCTAAAACAACGAGTAAAAAATATCACAAGTTTGCATCACAACACATACTCATGAAAATGTCACAGCTCTGATGCCTGCTGTGACATTCAGATTGTCTAAATGTCACAGAGTTATACATTTTCACGCTTACACAAACACCTCTCTTTCATTTGGACTGAAAAGTTTAGATTGGAAGTGACTGGTTGACCTGGAAAGAAAATACTACAACGGCCATTCAGTTTCACTCGTTCAGTGCTTTTCATCATATAGTTTCATTCAACATGAAGGAAGAAATAAATGTGCTGTAATTAAAGTGTGACTTAAGAAAAAAATACCAGTCAGATATAGTTAAATATTAGAAAAACACACCTTCTTACTTCAAGTATTTATTTCTATTTATGCAAATGCAGTCTTTACCTATGCTTATTGTGTATTTGTTACATGTCGTTTGCTTTCATTAGCATGAGAAGGTGGGACAGAACTAATTTCACAAGCATAAAGAAAGATGTTTAGATCACTCAGTTATCATTTGGACAGAGTTTGCCTCAAAAGGCAAAATTTGTTCCAGAAAGTTGGCTGATATGCTCTGATTGGCTATTTTTTTTTTAATATTAAGATTCTTTAGTTGATCATTTATTACGTCTGAATGCTTGAGACTTATGGAGGCCATAAGGAAAAATGATTATATATGAATACCATTTGTTTCTCATTCTCTTCATCTTTCCCTACCCCTAGCTCCCTTCTGCAATGCCCTGATGCAGACCCTGGAGTCCAACCCTGTCACGAAAATTGTGTGGAATTCAGTCAAGCCCCTGCTGATGGGAAAGATCCTTTACACCCCCGACTCCCCCGCAGCCCGCAAGATATTAAAGAGTGTGAGTGAGACCACCTCCAGCCTGACCCATCACCTCTCTCCCTTTTCCAACTCATTTTTGCCCCACTTCTGCGATTCTTTCAACACTCAGTATCAGTGTAGATGCATACAAACCAACCACCCACCTTTGGAATGAGCTGACTAAAGAAGCAGAGGAAAGCAAAGGGATGGTGGCGGTGATGGGGGTGAGGGGTAATGTGATGCAATGTGAGGGATGGGAAGAGGAGGGAGAGAATTCAGTGTAAGTGTGGGGGCGCGGCAGTGGAAGGAAAAACAGATCTGTTATGTCTCTTTTAATCCTCCTGACACAAAACAGAGTGGGGTTTCGAGAGTTTTGAGTGGCGTTTTGAATGTAGCCAAATTACATAATGTAACATTCCATTGTTATCCGCTGTATGTTGCAGCTTAAACCTTAGATAAAGTGTTAGTGGACTTTTTTGATCTCTCCTTTTTTTAAATTTTTTTTAACTGACACTATCCTTTAACAACTGACACTTCCACCAAACTCATTACTGACAGTGTATTTAGCACAGAATGCAAACGCTTTGTGTTAAATATGCTTTTGTTGTACTACTCTGGAAATATTTTTCAACTTTCATAGGATGTGTGTATTTGTGTTTGTCCAGGCCAACACAACCTTTGAGGAGCTAGAGAGGCTCCAAAATATGGCCAAGGCCTGGGAAGAGGTGGGACCTCAACTCTGGGCTTTCTTGCAAAACAGCGTTCAGATGAACATGATCAGGGTATGATTACTGCACATTCCTGCACACTAATTTAATGCACATTTGCACATCAACTCTCCTTACTACCACTGACATTATATAAAAAGATGGACACAGCCACTGTGAATCCACCCATTAGTTTGTGAAATCCTATTTTGAGCCCTTCATTTCATTACTTGGATAATAAAATAAAGTAAAAAAACAAACAAAACAGCAGGCTTTATAGCAAGCTGCATCCATATATATATACACTGCTGATACTGGCATCTTTATTAGTACTCCTGCTCAGCTGTTTGTAATTGGAAATATTTAATCAGCCAAACACATCGCAGCAACTTGATGCATTTAGGCATGCCGACATGGTCACGACAACCTGCTGAAGTAGAAACTGAGCATCAGATTGAAGAAGAGTAGTATTTAACTGTGGAGTGTTTTAGAAACTGCTGATTCACCAGGATCTTCACACATAACCATCTCTAGTGTTTACAGCATTTCTGGGTGAAAATGCTGTGTTGACTACTTCAATCAAATAGGAAACCAACAGTAACTCAAATAATACATTTTGCAAAACAGCATCTATAATTGCACAATCCATGAAGCAGATGGGTTACAGCAGCCGAAGACCACACTGGGTGCCACTCCTGTCAGCTGAGAACAGGAAACTGAGGCAACAATTTGAGGCTCACCAACATCATAATTGAAGATTGGGAAAAATGTTGCCTGATCTGATTGTTCTGATGAATGCTGTGAGATTCAGATGGTAGGGTCAGAATTGGCATAAACAACATCTTTCCTCGTAACATTTCAGATTCCTGGTGGTGATGTAATTGGGTGAGAGATATTTTCTTGACACATGTTGGGCTCCTTATTACTAAATGACCATCAATTAAACACCACAGCCTACCTGAGTATTGTTGCTGACTATGTCACAAAGCTCAAATCATCTCAAACTGTTTTTTTGAACAAGACAGTTGCTTCACTGTACTCAAATGCCATCCGGAGACACGAGAACTTAATCTAGTCGAGCACCTTTGGGATTTAGTTGAACAGCAGATTCACAACATAGATGTGCGGCCAAAAAATCTTCCACAGCTGCATGATGGGGGCTTGAGCCTATACCAGCTACCATAGGGCGAGAGGCAGGGTACACCCTGGACAGGTCATCAGTCTGTCGCAGGGCTAACATAGAGAGACAGACAACCATTCACACTTACATTCACACCTATGGGCAATTTAGAATCACCAATTAACCTTACCCCACTGCAAGACAGATATTTGCATTAAAAATACTCCTGAAGGGACCCCAAACATGGATGAGTTCAGTGACTTGAATTAACAGGTGATATTTCATAGATGACTACCAGCTACAGCTGCCTGTGTTAGTTTCCACCTGAAACCTTGAAAATGTTAAATTTTACTCCTTACTCTACTATGTAGCCACCTGAATCAAACATTTTCTTCTACATGAGCATGTATTGTACTGTATTTCTATTATGCACAGTAACTCTAATCTCTCTCACTGAAGGATACACTGAGGAACCCAACGGTGATGCATTTCATGGACAACAGTCTGGTGGGAACTGAATTTACCACAAAAGACATTCTCAACTTCCTCTATAATGGACCAGAGCGAGAGCGAGAGGCGGGCATGCCAAACTTTGACTGGAGGAACATTTTTAACATCACCGACCAGCTCATACACATGTTCAACCAGTATGGAGAGGTTAGTAACCTGTCTCTATTTCTGTGTCTCCCTACTTTTTTCCTCAATTTTGCACATTCCTATGACAAGGCATTTGGCCTTTTTGGTAGGCTTTGTCTAAATTCTACAGACAAGAGCGTCTGTCTCCCAGGTCTTCTTCCTGGAGACTGTGCCAGGCTTTTTGACACAGGGCACAACCACTTAGCACAGCTCTTCCATACAGCAGACTGAAAGGTGGCAAGAACATGTTTGCTGTCACCCCCTTCCCTTGTTTCCATTGTACATTCAGTGATAAAGTAGAGAGTAGATGGGAATGAGTCACCCCCCTCAAAACCCAGTGCTTTTTTAGTGTACAGCACTTCATTCAAACAAACTCCTGTGCTTGCTACATAAAAGAGGGCAAATCACTCTATCCATCCTTCACGCCTTCTCTCTCTTCTTGTGTCTGATTAAAAGGGGGTAGGGTTTGGATTTTGGAAAGAGCCCTATCATTGCAGGCACCTCAATCTACCCTTTGTCTCCTAGTTTAGTGCCAAGACCCTTCAGAGCTCCACAAACAATCCAGGGGGATTTAGCAAATTAGATATAGCTGTCAGTAATCACTGGGCCATAGGATAACTGCTGTAGTTAGCATGAGGTCCTCTTACTCTGTCAGGGGTATGTTTCTCACACTAGCATCCTATTGGAACATGTGTATCAGTGAGGCTCCTTCTTCTCAGCCCATCTCTGAGAGAACATCATTGTGTAGTGACTGTGTGTTCACATAAAGATGAATGGGAAGTGATCTCTTGTCTGTCTTTGAGTGCTCTGGGGGTATTGTACAGTAATGTGAATGAGGACATTAGACACGGTCTACATGGGAGTGTGAGAGTGGGGTTAGAGAGCTGTATCTATGGTGTACATAGTGGGAGTTTCACATGGTAATTACACACGTGGTAAATAAATATAGCAAGTGTGTGTGAGAAAATGAGAGTTGCGATTAGTGTGTGTACATTAAATGGATTTTGCTTTCCTGCTTGCATATATGAACATGCCTATGTTTGCCACTGCACCATGAATATAGTGGCTCACATTTTCCCATGTGGCCAGATTACTCCACTGAAAAACCCATAAAAACAACAACAATGATTTAGGATTCAGCTCAGAAAATAGATGCTTAGAAAATAAGGAAACACGATTTGCTTCCAGTATTTCATGGTAATTATAGTGTTTAGCATCTAATCTAATGCATAATCTAATTAGAATCGTACATGCACTTGCATACTGTTACATCGATTTAGATGTTATAGAAGAAAGGGTTATATATTTTTTCTTCTGTCAGCACATTGAACAACGCCACTGCTTAAAAGGCATCAGTAACCACACATACACGAAAACATAAATATTTATACTTGCTAAATGCTAAATCATCGCCCTGTTTCACTGCTTCTTATGAACACAAATCCACATCCTTCTCCATGTTTCTCTGTCTGCAGTGCGTTAGTCTAGATAAGTTTGTGGCCTACACAGATGAGTCCCAGATGATCCACGAGGCTTTGCACCTGCTGGAGGAGAACAAGTTCTGGGCTGGCGTGGTCTTCATGGACCTGTATCCCTGGACCACAAGTGTTCCGCCGCATGTCAAGTACAAGATCCGCATGGATATTGATGCGGTGGAGCGTACCAACAAGATCAAAGACAGGTCAGTAATGAATGACTACTCAACATTTGTAACCCCCTAAAATAAAGCTAAATGACAGCTTTTGTTGTACCTTAACCACTGCACTCAGAAAGTATCCAAATCCCTGAAGCTTTTCACATTTTTTTTATATTGCACTGACAAGCTAAAAGTGTTCAAATTAGATGTTCTTTTGTGATCAATTTGCACTCAGTCCCCCTCCACAATGATGAAAATTCTTTAAACTGATTACAAGGATGGAAGAAAAAGAAACATTCAGTCGACAGACCTTGAAATGTAGCCCAGGCTTTGCTGCATTTAATATTCCCAAGAGCACACTGAGTGACCTCTATAATTCTTAAACTGAAAAGGTTTGGATTCAAGAGGGTGACTATATGATCAAACTAAGCAACTGGGTGAGCAACTCTTACAAAGTGAAAACCTGCATGTAGTTTACAAAAGTTCTTCTAAAGGACTGTCAGAAAGTAGAAATTAGGTGATTTGGTCTGATTAAACCAAGATTAGACTGTCTGACATCAATTCTAAGCACCGTGTCTGGAGAAAGCACCCCAAACAGTGCACTATGGTGAGCATGATGCAGGGGTGGGATTTTCTTTTTAGAGCCAACACAGGGAGAATGGTTAGGGTTGAGGGAATTGAGCTAATGGAGCAAAGCACAGAGACATCTTCCATCTCTGTGCTTTAAATGAAAACAAACTCCACTGGGCTCAAGACCTCAAGGTGGGTTGAAGGTTCACCTCCAAATAGAACAATTACACTAAGGACACATAAATCCAATACCGGAGTGGTTTGGGGACAGCTCTGTGAATGTCCCTGAGTAGGTTGTTGGAGAGACCTGAAAATGTCCCTCAAAAACTAAGAGGATTTTCAAAGAATGACAGAAAGTCGTGAGCCAAGGAATCACTGTGTCATAGCAAGGAAACCCTGCTTCAAAGCCGAAGGTGCTTTAGCAACAAGCTGAATAAAGTGTCTGAATATTTAGATTTGTGTGACAGTTTTTCCTGCTGTGCAGTAGTTTAAAGAAAATACAGTTTTGAGCATAACATGTGAAAAAGTAAAGCGTCCTTGCAGTCTAACCCATGTTTTTGATGCTTTTGTTTCATTGGAGTAATTATTTATTTTTTCAATGCCAAAAATATCTGAAAAACTTCCTCTTTACTGTTTAAATTAATTTATCTTGGGACCAAACAAAGAGCTCGTAATTATAATAAACATCTTTGGCAAATAACAAAAGCCATTCGTGGGCTTTAATTGTACTTAATTAAAAGTAGAAATAAAATTGATTAGATCCATCAATATCATTTTAAAATCAAAACCAATATCATTTAAAGCACTAAATATCCCTGTCAGCTTGGTCCTAGATTTTTTTTTAAATCTTGTTACTTCCACTTTAATGAGGCAATTTATATGGATTTGTGACATTCCCCAGAGGAAAAGCTTCTCTCGCTGTCTTCCAAAGGTTTTTGGCTGTTCCATACCTGCCCTTTCATCCAACCATGTGTAGCTCTTACATGCATTTCCCCTTTCTCTTTGATCTCTTTTTCATAAGCAGACAGTATGTCAATATCCCCCGGGGTGAACAAGCAGATTTAGCTGTTTGCAGCACACCAGCAGGCTGTAATGGAAGCAGTGGGACTCCTGCCGCTATACAATTGAATAATCAGATTGTAAAAGAGCTTTGAGTCAGACTTATCCGCTTAAGTAAAATCAGCGTGCACAGCGTTAAAGACTTTGGCTTTAGGATAATTTATGGTGGAAAGAAAATCAGTGGAGATTGTGGCCGGGATTATTTAATACAACTACAACAACAAAAGCTTATATATTACTCTGATGTGATGACAAACACCATAATCGCGTAGATCTGGACATCTTTCATTCTTCTGTGTCCTCTCTCTCAGGTACTGGGATCCTGGTCCTAGAGCGGACCCCATGGAGGACCAGAGATACATCTGGGGAGGTTTTGCTTACCTGCAGGATATGATTGAACACGGCATCATTAAAATTCACACAGGCAACGACTGGCCACTCGGGGTCTATGTCCAGCAGATGCCATATCCATGCTACGTAGATGACCTGTGAGTTTACCAGTCACTGCAGTCCTGCAGCATTTTTCACAATATGCCTTTTCATTAAGAAAGCTTTAAAAAGAAATAGATAAAGAACTTTCTGCACATCAGAAAGTGTAACAGTGCTTTAGAGGGCTGCAAAACCTATTATTAATAGAATAATATACAATTAATTGCAGAATAAAAATGATGCTCCTGCATATACTGTCCATGCAACTGATTCAATTTAACCTAAATTGGTGTATAGTTAAGATGAAGCTTTAATTTATTAATAGATGCGTTGAATAACTGTCCAACTCGGTGATTAACTGCTTAACTTCTTTCTGTGTGGACAGGTTTTGTAACTGAATTTCAGTAGGTTTCAAAGCCCAGTCAAGCTGACTCAGACATACAGTAGAATGAGAATGAAAACTCACATTATGAATTAAACATTTTCAGACTAATCAGCCAACTTGAGTGCTGGTTTGTTGAAAGCTAAGCCAAGGACAGTAAAAAGGTAAATTAAAAAAGTCTGCTGTTGCTTTCATGCCATTCATCTTGGTGGCTCTTGTTTGAACGTAGAGTTGGGTATTGCTGTTTATTGGAGTCTGTATTAGTGCTATTCTAGTTATTATCAATGGAGGAACCAAATGTGTGAAAATTTCTAGTAGGCGTACTACACTACACTGAATTTCCTCTCTAGAATACAGCCTTTTTTTTTGGAAATATGTGCTGCTCTTTTGTCTGACTAAAATTGAGATTAATGCATTCTGTGCTGAGAGATCACAGAATCAGTGTAATCCTAATTCCTTCCTCTCTCCTACTTCCACTCTAGCTTCATGATCACACTGAACCGCTGCTTCCCAATATTCATGGTGCTGGCCTGGATCTACTCTGTGTCCATGACAGTGAAGAGCATCGTGCTGGAAAAGGAGCTCCGTCTTAAAGAGACCCTCAAAGCCATGGGGGTCAGCAATGGAGTCATTTGGTACACGTGGTTCATCGACAGTTTCCTCATGATGACTGCGAGCACAGTACTGCTGACCTCTATTGTCATGGTAAGAAAACACAAAGAGCTGGTGAGAAAAGGTGAAAAAAAGCTGAAAGTAAGACTGAGGGTGTTTTGTCAGCTCTTAAGAGCATGTTTATTCAAACCTGCAGCTTGACCCTTGGGCCTATATCTTATATTTGCTATCAAAGCAGTTTTAATTTGATTCCTCAGCACAAAGTGGCCTGCATGGCACATTACTTTGTTTTGAAGTAAACTTATTTGATAGTAGATTTGTTATTTAGTTCTTGAACTCAGTTAACATGTTATTAATGTAATAAAAATGCAAAAACCAGTTAAATACCGAATCCTCGTATAAACTAATTTATGCTTGAGAGGTTTAATTACTGTGACCTTAATTATAGGGCCCAAAAATACTTTGTGGCTCCACACAGATGGAAAAATTGCTAAATATGTCTCTTTTGAATAGTAAAGGTCGCCATACCAAAAGGTTGTTTTGGAGGGTTCATGTTTCACAGGGTTTAATGCTGCCCTCTTGTGGATCATATTAACACACACACACACACACACACACACACACACACACACACACACACATACACACACACACACACACACACATATATTTTATGTGTTTTTCCTCTCTCTACCTTTTTTTAAACCCTAAATGTGCATGTTTAAATGTGAAAGTAAAACTCGCTGCAGAGATAGTCATGCTCTATATATATCTCCTTTTTAATCTCAGGGTGGCAAAGTGTTGCATTACAGCGACCCGATCCTTGTCTTCTTCTTTCTGATGACTTTCACTCTGGCCACCATCATGCAGTGTTTTCTGATGAGCGTGTTCTTCAACAAGGCCAACCTGGCAGCAGCCTGCAGTGGCATCATTTATTTCACCCTCTACCTACCTCACATCCTGTGCTTTGCCTGGCAAGACCGCATCACCAAGAGCATGAAACTGGCTGCAGTATGTTTATTTTTTTGTTTAAAGTACAAAATCAGACCTGAAGTTATGCTTTTCAAGCATAGTAAATATGATTTACAGTGCTTAACACATTCATTAAACTACTAATGTATAGTTTATACTATAGTTCCCCCTGCATATACTGGGTAATCCAACAGTATATGGTGTATTTTTTATAAATATGTCAAATTACTCTTATTTACTTCCATTTCTGAACAGAAAGAATTGTTTTAGCGGTTGAATGCTTGATTAATTTCTATGAATTCAGTCGTTTTGCATCATAAATAACAATAAAATTTTAAGTTTTAAACAAGTTTTTAACAGATTTCAAAAATATTTGTGCTGTCATGTTTTATGACGAGTCTAATAAATTAGTTAAGCGCTGTATTTAAGTAAATCTCATGGTAAACATTAGCAAATTTAACCCAGCTGACTTTCATGCCTACACACAGATATTTAGCAACAAATGAAACGAGTGATCATCCTGTTTTTTTTTTACCCCTCATGTTTTTCAGAGCTTGTTGTCACCTGTGGCCTTTGGCTTCGGGACAGAGTACCTGTCACGGTATGAGGAGCAGGGTTTGGGCCTGCAGTGGAACAACATTAAGACCAGCCCCTTGGAGAAAGACACTTACTCCTTTCTCACCTCCATCCTCATGATGATTTTTGATGCTGTCCTCTATGGTATCCTGGCCTGGTATCTGGATAATGTTTTCCCAGGTTGGGCTTACTTTATATTCTACAGTATTTTAGCAATTAATTGATAGTATGAGCTTATTACTAATAAAATCAAACTATTTGTGTCTGCCCATTAGGACAGTATGGCATTGGTCGGCCATTCTACTTCCCGTTCCAGCCCTCCTACTGGCAAAGACCTAAACCCTCACACACAGAAACGGCAGACAGAGGTTAGTCACTATGACTAAAACAGGAGTCAAAGAAATGAATTTCTACCTTTATTCTTTATGTTTAAAATTGCGGCTAGAAGGGCAAATTATTACCACAGGAATAGTGTTGTTGTTCCATGGAATGTCAATATAAGGTGAAGTTAAGGCTCATCCAGCCCATCCCATCAGTGTCAGAGCTGGAAGTAAAATCTAAAGCTTAGTAAAAGACAGATAATAGGGTGTCTGCACTTTGAGTAACTGTCCTTATAACCATATGATGGGTCAACAAAGCAGTGTATTATTTGAACAAAGAAAAGATTAGGTGCTTTCTTTCTTCTTTCTTTTTAACTGGAGAGTAAAAATCAATATGTAACTTCAGCGCTTTCATGGTGATGATTTTTAATTATAGGCCTGGTAAAACTTTGATCAAAAAGCATGCTAGTAAGCTGATGTACTGTCTATTCCTTATAGTTCCTGAGAAACCTGAACCAGAGAACCAAGAGAAGGATATCGAGAGCACACCAGAGACAAACACCTGTAACGGCTCAGCCAGCAGGAAAATCTGCAAGCACCAAAGTAAGAGGGAGCAGCGGGAGAGACAGAGGGAACTGCTGAAACAGCAAGAAGAAGCGCCAAACCAGGAGGACGGCCAGGACTCGGGAAATGAAGGTGATGACACAAATACAGAAGAAAAGCTCAGAATGCTGAAACAGTAACTTTGACTACACTTCACAGACTAAACAAGGAGAAGGCATACTAGATAATGACACAGTTGGAGAGAGATGCCACACTGCATGTGAGGAACTCTCTGGGGGCACCTGGTGGAAACATGCAAATCCTGCAGCAGACTGGAAAAACACAGGGGAAAACGGAAAATGACAAATTTGTGCTGATTAGAAGCTATAATTATATTGTTATTAGGGAAACTGCTGGGACAAGGCCTCAGTCAGGTTAGTGATAGGAAGGGAAAATAGTATTAGGTAGGTAAAATACTGAGAAATCAGACTAAAAACTCTCTTTCCTCTAAGTGCTCTCAGAAACTTTCTTTCAGAAAGAATTCCATCAAATTAAAATAAACGTTGAGAGCTACTGTGTTATTTCTGTCATGTTTTGATAATATTTTCGATCTCTTTTTGCATCCAGACCAGTCGTTCTTTGAGCCTGACCCAGTAGGCCTTGTGATGGGGGTGCAAATTCAGGATCTGGTGAAAGTCTTTGATGGAAGCTCTCGTCCAGCTGTCAACTGCCTCAACATTAATTTCTATGATGGGCAGATCACATCCTTCCTGGGGCACAATGGGGCTGGAAAAACCACGACAATGTAAACTGAAATGTTGTTGTATGAGTGTTTCTTATAGAAAGTACACTGATTTTTAAAAAAACACACACTGAAAAGATGTAAAGGGAATTCATGTAGTGTGTCTGAGCGGCAATGATTCAGCAACATTTCAGATTTGAATGGCTTTCACAGAAGCCTCTATGCATTTTGGAAGCTCCCTGCAAGGGTATTTCATTAAAACTTGACAATCGTCTTTAAAAAGTCTTTAAAAATGATCTACTCAGAACTTTCTGTTTGGTTTAGATTCAAACTGAATTTTGATAGCTACTGAAAGGTTGGTAACACCTGTTTATGATGCTCTGTTTCTGGTTTTTGCAGGTCCATCCTGACCGGCCTCTATCCTCCCACATCTGGCACAGCCTATATTAACGGGAGAGACATTAGAACTGACATAGACATTATCCGCACGTCAATGGGGATGTGTCCTCAACACAACATCCTCTTTAACCAGTAAGTTCCATTTTAGGTAATTTAATCAACTAAACAACCAACAACAATATTAGTAACTTTTAAGTTATTCAATCATTCACAATCAGCCTTCTTACAGAAATGTCTCACTTACTGCTGCTGTGTTTTGTACCAGTCTTACAGTAGAAGAGCACATCTTGTTCTATTCACTGCTGAAAGGTCGGACCCAGGCGGAGGCAGAAAGGGAGGTCGAGGACATGCTTGTGGACCTTGGGCTGCCTCACAAGAGAGATGATGAGGCTCAGAACCTCTCAGGTCATTACTTGTTTCTCTTTGTGTGTGAGAGAAAGGAGGAGAAAAAAAAATCTCTTTTAAACATCTGTTCTATTCACATTAAAGGCGGCATGCAGAGGAAATTGTCGGTGGCTATGGCGTTTGTCGGAGGGTCAAAGGTCGTCATCTTAGACGAGCCCACCTCAGGAGTGGACCCCTACTCCAGACGATCCATTTGGGACCTCTTACTGAAATACAGAACTGGTAAAAGCTGTCTGTAAAGTCACATTTAATGGTCTGGTCCACACTTTAACTCTCTCAGTAACTTCATTTTGTAACTCTTAAAAGGTGTTTTTTATCCTCAAGTTGACTTTTCACTGTTCCAGAATTTACTGAAGAATGAAAGAAAGTCTTTTGAAGCTGTACAGCTCCCCTGAGGCACTTGGATTTTGTAGAGAACTGATCAAAAGGGGAAAATTCAACTGGGTGGCTACAACAAAAGACAGAATTTTAGTCATAAAACCAATAAATTCTGCATCCGCTGTAAAAGCACTGAAAAGCTTTGGTATCACACACTACTTTGTTCATGTACAACAAGCCAAGATTTTGATAAAAGCTCGCTCCTTGTGCAGGCCGCACTGTGATCCTGTCCACTCATCACATGGATGAGGCCGACCTGTTGAGCGACCGCATCGCCATCATCTCCAAAGGGCAGCTGCACTGCTGCGGGTCCCCCCTATTCCTCAAAAACTGTTTTGGAGTTGGTTTCTATTTGACGCTTGTACGGAGGATAAAGGACCTCAGGAAGAAGGAGGTGAGGATGAACTTTTGTGCTTAATCAACCATCTGTAATGCTTCTCATCTCAGCAGGTTTCTGCACAGAAAACAAATCTGTTTCTACCACAGGCATATGCAAGAGAATACGTGATTTTTGTCTGCTCACTTTTTAGTCAGAAAATCCTCTTTTTCTTCTTTTGCATTGTTCAAGGTGTTATTTTCTATTTTTGTCAGAATAACTGCGACTGTGCCTCAGACTGCTCGTGTTCCTGTTCCATCTGCACCAGATATAAAGATGAGTCTCAGAATCAGTTTCAGCACCTAGACAGAGTTTTGGATGGTAAGTGGATATCGTATATCCCTTTAATCTTCCTCCTCATGAGCAAAGCCTCAGGAGTTGGTTTGTTTTTGCGTCTGTCTATGTTCTCTTGTTTTTCTGTTCCACTGACACAAAATGTAGATTTTGGAAGACAGTTTTGAAAAACGAAAGGATTTTGGCTCGCTCTTTCTTCTTCAAGGTGTGTTTTGGAAAGTAGAACTCGGTTTTGAAGTTCAAGTTAAGTTTTGTTTTAGGGTAAGGACGAGGATAAGGGTGCGGCTACCACACTGGATATCAGAGAAGTCACTGTAACAATACTATTGGCTAAGAGCAACATTAGAGGTAGCACATTTTAAAATTGGTGCATTGGGCTTAAAGCAAAGCCCCAGTTTCTCAAGACTCTCAGGACTCTGCTTGGTTCAGCTATGGTTTTACCCTCTTTTACCCACTTGGCCCATTTAACGCTAGAATAAATGCAACTCTTTTACACTTTTCATCTATCATGCTAGCTCTGACTTATGTTATCATTAGCAGCAACTGGGCAACTGGTAAATAGAGTTTAAAGGCAATCAGCTAAACTGATAAAGACCAGATCCACAGGGTCCAACTATCAACACAATGTTGAACTGTTAGCCATAAAGTAACTGATGCTGATATTATCATATGTGTGTTATTAACTCAATATCTGTATCTATGAGTGGAGTCATATAAGTGATGCTTAATGAATGTGGACAAGGGTATTATTACTATTACTATTAAAAAAAATGCCCAAAATACTGCCTTCAAAAATGTAATTATATGTAAATTTCCATATATTTTGTTACATGAGAACAATGTCAAATGTTAGAGTTAATAGAATCTGGTAAAATGAAGTTTACTTGATTGGTATGCATTAATTATTTGAATAAACCAGCCTTTATGTATGTCAGAGGTATTTTATTCAAAATTATTGCTTTATGTTTACTGAGAGAATGAAGAATAATTTTTTGACTCTAGGCTTGTGGTGTTGTTATATATAAGAAACAAAGCCAAAGGCAATTGAGATAATAAATGTTTGAACTGTCTGTGTCTGATTATAATTATAATCCTGGCAGCAATGGAGTCATCAGTATTCAGATGATTTACATACACTCACTCACTTTATTAGGCATACCTGGCTAGTACTGGGATGGACTGGGTTGGTCCATATTGAGGTAATAGCACCACACAGTTGTAGTAGATTTACTGGTTGCACATCTATAATGTGAATGTCTCATTCCACCAAATCCCAAAGGTGCTCTACTGGTTTGAGCTCTGATGGCTGCGGCGGTCATGTGAGTACAGTTGGAGATGATCTGAGCTTTGTGACATGGTCAGCAACAATGCTCGAGTAGGCTATGGTGCCACAATCATTTTTAGTTGCACAAGTTTGTGCGCACAGACAAGGAATTTTACTTTGCTCTTTTCATGATATGGTTAAATAGGCAGTAACTAATTATGTAACTTAGTACTAAAAGGGTTCCAAAGTGTGTCAAGAAAATATCCCCTCACCATTACACCACCAGCAGCGTCTGAACCACCGGCACAAAGCATGCTTTCATATCACTTGTTTGGGAGCAGAAATTGAGACTCATCAAACCTACAACATTTTTCCAATATTTTAGTGTCTAACTTTGGTGGGTCCATGCAAATTGCATCCTCAATATCCCGTTCTTGATAGGACTGGTAGTCATTGGTCTTCTGTAGCTGTAGCTCAGCAGGTTCAAGCTGTTCTGCATCCTGCAGAGATTGTCTTCTACCTTGGTTGTAACAAGTGTTTATTTGATTGACTGTTGTCTTCCTTCAGCTTAAAGCAGTCTGACCATTTCCCAGCTGATGTCTGAAAACAAAAAAGGCATTTTCACACAGAGAACTGTTGTTCACTGGATATTTTCTCTTTTTCTGATCATCCTCTGTAAATCCTAGAGATGGTTGTGCGGGAAAATCCCAGTAGAGCAGCTGTGTCTAAGATTCTGTCTCAGAGCAGCTTGTCTAGCACCAACAATGATGCCACAATCAAAGTCACTTAAATCACATTTCTTCCCCCTTTTGATGCTTGGTTTGCATTCTAGAAGGTCGTCTCAACCATGCCTGTATGCTAATTATATATGCTTAAATGCACTACTGGCATTTCTGTTAATAAGCAGTTGAATAGGTGTAAATAATAAATGTATCGTACAGTGAAACTCCTGGTGCATAGCATCAGCCTTTTACAATAGAGCCCTGCCTAATAAAAATGTAGTAGTAATGATAATAATAATAATATAATGTCATAATAATAATAAGTTTTTTCTTTTGTAAGTGAGCGCCCTCACAAGTGTAGCAGAGGAGCACGTGTGTGTGCAACCTGCTGAGTTGTTTATACGTTTCAGTATGGACTTGTTGAAATTTGCATCACTGGCCCACTTATCAAAGTTGTAAAACAGAACATAAACAGACAATTTTTTTTCACATTCCCAATTTAATGGTCATATTGACCCATGAGCTTGCTATTACTGTTCTGCCTGAGGACACGTACTTAAGATGCAACCCCGTGAAGCTGGTGAAGTATAAATTTGCTTATGCGTTTATGTGCTTGAATAAAATTGTTTGTTTTTTGTTTTTTTTGTTTTTTTGCATCTCAAGCAGTTTTTGTTCCTTTGTCCTTGTGTTGGTTTCTGCTATTTTGGGAACACTTTGCTCTTAAGTAGCTCATTTATATGTGAATTTCTGTCCTCTTTCCAGGGGATATAGACAGCATCACAAGTCTTATCCACCACCATGTCCCCGAGGCCAGGCTGATTGAGATGATTGGACAGGAGTTGACCTATTTGCTCCCCAGTAAAGGGTTTAAACATCGGGCCTATGCTAGCCTGTTTAGGGAGCTGGAGGAGACACTTGCTGATATGGGTCTAAGCAGCTTTGGCATCTCTGATACATCACTAGAGGAGGTACGGATGTCTGTTGTTTGTTGATACTGTGGATAGCTTAAGAGTCTTCAGAATATGTATTTATATTTAATTTTGGAAAGTTTGAATTTTGATAAACCCCGTTTGAAAATTCTGATAAATGAAATAAAGAGCCAGAAATTGTAAGAGAAGTTTGGTTTTTTTGCCCTTATTAGTACTTTTAAAAGCTCTGAAAAGGTCAACATTTGTTTTCATTGGATGGATTAGAAAAATTGTGTACTTTTAAACATGACATGCCTCTGCAGCATTTTAACTATATTAATACATCTGTAAAGTTTTTTTTTAAAGACCAAGTGCTATAAGATTTCAGCTAATGTCTTTATTAGACTTGGATCCTGCATCTTTTCTTCTTTTCTCTTTTCTGCTGTTGCTTTCTACCTGCACACAGTTCTAGGGATTTGTCAGTTAAAAATTAAAAAAGAAAAAAGGGTACAATATATTCAGAACATAAAGGATGAACTTATACTAAATGAATGAAAAGTTTTGAAAGTTAAGGAAGTTCTTTTTCTCTCTCTGCAGATATTCATAAAGGTCACTGCAGACGGAGAAGCTGCGAATAATGCCACCACTCCTGGTAAATACCACCACTGATATTCTCCATGGCCTTTTGCTGGAATTGAATTTCTGACCCTTTGCCCAGTCTCACACCTGTTTTTATTAGGCTGTTAGTGTTGCGTATCCTCGAAGTAGATTATACAACTGTGACTATAAAAGCAGCCAAAGTACTTGTTTAGATTTCACGTGTGGTGTGGTGCTTCATTTGTCTTTTTTTAACCCTCTAGTTTGTGTGCATATGTGTGTGTTTTTTGTTTCACTTATGTGTCCTACTTCTAGAACAGTGGATGTTACAAGGGAGAAAAAATGGCTGCAATGTTGGCATAGAGGGAGATGAAGGTCAGAGCGTTAAGAGCCATTAGACTGAACTCTGGCAATATAAATGCTGTTTTTTGTCACTGAACCTGGGCCAATCAGATCTTTTTTTTCTTTCATCGATTAAATATTTTATTCCTAACTTTTTATGTGGGACTTTTCACATAAGGACAGTTATTTATAACACTCTGAAAGGCATTTATCCCAACCAGGGAAGCAAGTACCCCAGAGAGTACCTTTCCAGTAGCTAGGGGTACTATAACCATTAATTAAAGAAGTGACCTCAAAAAGTTAGGTAATGGGTAAGCAGTAAAAATAATAGCCAAAGGGAATGCATGCACGATTAAAATGTAAAAGTGACTGGGTACTTTAGTCAACACTGAAAATTTCATACATATTATCTATGAATTGAATTCATAGACCCAGAAAGATTTCAGTTTATGATATTTTCCTGAGAACAGCAGTTTTTCTTTTTTCCAAGTGCACATATATGTTGGAGTAGAAGTCTAACTAATTACATGACCTCTTTGGCAGGTGTAGAAAAATTGTAAAGTGTAGAAATAAATTCTACATGGGTTAGATGAGGTTTTCAGAGATAATTATATACCCACTTCCATTTATATTTGATATTTACATGTTTACATATTTGATTCTTTATGTATGCACTTTCAAAGCAATAATATTTATGTGTTGAATTTACCTGAGGATAGGAATTCCTGGCTTCTGATTGGTTAGTGAAGTCACAGGGGGTCCGAACAAGGAAGTTGTGCGACGAGTGAACATGCTGCTAATTTAGCTTACATCCATCTCCATCTTACTGTTTATAATAGCTCAGAGAGATTTAGAACCACATAGCGATCCCTTCGGTTTCAAAAGTATGGCTAACTAAACTATTAATAAATAGTATGGCTAATTCATAGACTGCGGCTTAACAACTACAAGTCTTAGTTGAGGAAGAGATGAAACATGCTAAAATTACTAATGAAAGTATGGCTAACAGTTTTTTTTAAACAACAATATTTGGACATGGAAGGATAAAAGCTTGTACAAAAGTTGGAATTGTTTCCTGAGAGTACAGAATAATCTGTTAGTTATTGATTTACAAGAAAATTAGTCTAAAACAGCGAAATAGTAGACAGAATGTTGAACTAGTATCCTAGTTGCTATGGACGGGGGATACAAGTAACCGATTATAATGAGAAACATAATAAATTCAAAGCAGATTAGAAACATTATGAGATGAATTCACCTGAATATGAAATGAAAAATGTTGATGATAAAGGGTTTTAGTCCACCTGACATGATAACCCTGAGGTAAATCAAATTAGAAAATGATGACAACTCTTATACACTGCTGTGAATTTTTTTTGTCCTGCGTTCTGATTTCTTATTTTACTGCATATTTGTCACAGTTAAATATTTCAGACCACCGAACAATTTTTAATATAAAGACAACCCAATTAAATACGAAATGCAGTTTTTAAATTATGATTTTATGTATTAAGGGATATAAACTATCCAAACCTACCTAGCCCTATGTGAAAAAATAATTGCCCCCTGACCTAATAACTATTTGTGTCACCCCTGCATTCAAGTGTTTGCAATAACTGACAATGAGTCTTTCACATCACTTTGGAGGCATTTTGGCCTGGACGTTGTTGCAGAACTGTTTGAATTCATCTCATTGGGATGGTTTTGAGCATCAACTTTAAGATTATGCAAAGAATCTCAATCAAATTTACATAGAATACCTTTATTTTTATTACCTGAACCATTCAATGATGGATTTGCTGGTGCTCTTTTGGATCGTTGTCCTGCTGCACAACTAACATGTGCTTCAACCTCAGGGGACAAACTGATGGCCATACAGTCTACTTGAGCATTTTCTTGTAGAGAGCATAATTCATGGTTTCATCAATTATGTCAGGTCATCCAGGTCCTGAAGTAGCAAAACCGCCATGAAAACCCTCGAAAAAGTTCAGCTTTTGTCTGGTGTGTCCACAGACAAAACGCTTGGAGACCATCAAGATATTTTTTGGTATTAGATCAGCCTTTTTGTTCTTTTTTGGTCAGCAGCGGTTTTCACGCTGCAGCTTTTCAGTAGATGCCATTTTTGCCCAGTCTCATTCTTATTGTTAAATCATGAACTCTGAAACAAGTGAGGCCCGAAGTTCTTGCAGTTTCTTTGGTAGGCTGGCCACTCCTGGGAAAGTGCACCACAGTTCACTCAATTTGCACATAATGGTGCTCACTGTGGTTCACTGGAGTCCCCGTTGTGTTGTTTTTTAAAATCTTTCAACCAACTTCACTTTGTCAAGTGTATTCTTGATTCAACAAGAAATTAATAATTGATCATTTATTATTTATTCTTCGTCTGATATTAAAATTAATTTCATGATTTGAAACATCTAAGTGTGACAAGTATGCAAAAAAGTACTATTCAAGCACAGAACATGTTTTCTGTGACCATTTAAATCCTTTTGTGTTAAGCCTCACTCAGCTTGAATGGCCCAGGTACAGGCTGCCTTAGTTAGAATTTAGTGTCTGTTTTTGCTGCTTATATGCTCTTTTCTATTTATAGTGCTGCATCAGATTCATATATTTACTCGCATTCATGCATTTGTGGTATTCAGAAAATATATTCATAATCCTCAGAATACTTCAGATGCCTTGCTCAGTGGATTTTAGCAGTAACACTCATTCACAGCCTGTTCCCACATGCAGATTATGCAGTTCATCTAAAATGCTTTGTTTTCTGTAGATATGGTTTTAGTGCTGCTTACTGTTTTCTTGTTGAACACAGAACATAATGGAGTGAACCCCACCAACCAGTCATCGGACAGCAGTGCAGGAAAGGGCTCCAGGCAGGTGAAAGGTGGATTTCTGATCCTGAAACAGTTCCATGCTCTGCTGGTAAAGAGGTTCCACCATGCCACACGAAGCCAGAAAGACTTTTTGGCACAGGTACAGGATCTCATAAACATGGGAATGACGTGATGAGTGAAATGGCTTAGTGGTTGCATTGTGTGGAGCATATAAACTGAATAGACTGGTGTGAGTTTCTTGAGAGACCTATTTGAATGAATTTGACGGTTTTAACAGATACAATGTGTTTACTGAGAACATTTTTTGAGCCAAATTTGTTTGGATGTATCTGCAAAAGTGTCCGCTTATTTTGCAAAACATTTTCTAAACTGTTGTTATTATGCTTGTGACTGTCTGATTCCAGATCGTCCTTCCTGCCAGTTTTGTCTTGATAGCACTGATCTTCACCATGATTGTCCCTCCTTTTGGAGAATATCCCAGTCTCACTCTGAGCCCCTGGATGTACGGACAGCAGTTCACCTTCTTCAGGTGTGAAGGCTTTAGATAAATCTTTCAGTTACATGTTGGATGATAGATATTTACTTTTTTCTCCAATTTAATTTTCTTCTTTGTATTTTTTCATCACTGTATTAGCAATGAGAGGCCATATGACCCCAAAATGAAACACTTTATAGAGCGCTTGCTAAAGCCACCAGGCCTGGGCACGCGATGCATGGAAGGAGAACCCCTAGGGTGAGCATTATGACTAGAGATAACAACACTCCTTCTGCTACATCTTAGAGCACTGATGTCTATTTTCTTAGGGCTCATACAATGCCAGGAAACTGTATAGTCAAACAAACACATCTTTAAACTGTATCCATATGTATTATTTTTAATAGAAGCAAATCTGCAGAATCTGGATCTGGAATAACATTAAACTCATTTAAAAAAAAAAAATCAAATTTGTTGTCAAATACTTTAATTTTAAGCTTCATACTTCCGTTTTGAGTTATTAATCCAAAAGACTCAAAGTCATAACAGTCAGCTCCAAGAAGTTTGGAAGGAAAAAAAAAAAAAGCAAAAGCAGTGAGAACAGAACTTTTTTTTTCAGTACAATAACAAGTAGCATTATACAGGGGAGTCCCGAATAAAGGTGGGAGGTAGTGACTAGACCACTCAATCTCTAGATGCTGCTGGCGTTGAAATAGAGTGAGCAGATGGCTGATGGAGACTTCGGATGAGACTCCAAGGACAGTCCGAATGAGCTGGGTGTAGGGAGGAGGAGGGATGAAAGGCACAGTGAGATATTACAATGAATTCAAAAAGCAGGAAAGTTTTGGAGAGCATAAGTAAAGTGGACAAGAGCTGCAAAATTAAAATTTAGACTTTTGACAAAAATGAAATAATGAAGAATTTAGGGCAGCAAAAAAACCTTATTGAACTCTTGCTTTAACTTCATTTAAATTATTTATTGGAGAACTGCAAAAAGCAAAAAAAGCTTCATTAAAAAAGAATAATCCAGTGGCTGAATTATATACAGTGGATGGTTAAAACTACAACTAAGTATATACAGTGCATAGATAGTAGCTTTACCGCATGAGTGATTTTACCTTTGCAGTTTAATTTCTTCACTCCTCTCCCTCCAGAGTTCCCTGCAGTAACAGGACCCCAGAGTGGGAGTATCCTGATGTCTCCCCAGCGGTTAGCAACATCTTACAAAGTCCTGCATGGAACCAGAGAAACCCATCACCTTCCTGCCAGTGCAGCACAAGTAACAAACTGACCATGATGCCCATCTGTCCAGATGGTGCAGGAGGTCTGCCCCCTCGCCAGCGACTGGAGCCAACGGAAGACACAATGCTGGATCTGACTGACAGGAACATCTCTGACTACTTGGTCAAAACCTACCCCAGTCTTATTAGAACTAGGTGAGTTTGAATGTAGTTGTAAACTGTACTCAAAAGGTAAAACCAGGTGGATTTAAAGAAGAAATACAAGTGTGTTAAAAACCCTCACAGAGCTGGAAAATATGTCCTAAAGGAAATTAAAAGGAGAAAAGGTTTAAGGCAAAAGAAAAAACAAAGAGCTAAAAAAAAAGAAAGGCAAATAGCAAATAGTAATGATCATTCTCCTCAATGAAAACTACATTTCTTTTCACAGTTTGAAGAGCAAGTACTGGGTGAATGAACAAAGGTAACAATTTTATTTCTTTATTTAATATTTTCTTTCCCCATTTTTGTTTTGTCGTTTGTTACAACGACACAGCAATGTGTTAAAGACATGCTGATGTTAGGAACTGTGATGTGAGTGGATATCTTCTGTCCTCAGATATGGAGGTTTGTCAGTTGGAGGGCAACTCCCCATCCTGGATGTGGACCCTAAAGACATCCGGAACGTTTTTCATCAGCTGGGACGGATGCTCAACATCACTGGGGTGATTATTCTTGTGTTATGATTTACAGATCGAGTGTGCAAGTTTGAAATAAGTCAATAAAAATTAATAATAATGAACTGCTGTGTGCAGGGTTACTATAGCAGACTTGCCCTGAGGGACATTGGCACTTTCTTACGATATATGGAAAGTGAATTCAATATAAAGGTAGGTGTGCAGCTCGATAGAAGAGTGGGTTTTTCCACAAATAGCAAAGTGGCACAAATGACTGTAAACGCAAGCAGTTTGACAGTCTAATACTTTGCTTGTGTTTTACAAACCTTTCACTTTCTGATTGTCTGTCATGTCATTGATTGATTCCTGTAAGTTAGCTTAAATGTTTTCCACTTGTAAATTTATTCTGAAGACTACATTTGCAGATCCTCTATGTTGTGTAACAGGCTGATCACACAGTTGCGAGATGTGCTCAATTAGTTCTGTTCTTCTCTGCCAGGTGTGGTATAATAACAAAGGCTGGCATGCCATGGTGGCCTTCATCAATGTGGCTAATAATGCTATTCTGCGAGCCTTCCTACCCACAAATGCCAACCCTGTAGAGTTCGGGATCACTGCCATCAACCACCCACTAAACCTCACTAAAGAGCAGCTTTCTGAAGTCACTGTGTGAGTAATAACTGTAGTTTTTTCTTTTTTAGCTGTGTTTAAATGTATGTGTTTGTGTAGTCTGTAAATCAACCATAGAGGGTATAAAAGATGGACATAGGTAGAAATCTGTGGGGAAGTGCCTTAAACCTATAATCTTTTCCAATGATCCACAAAGTGAAATGCAAAAAGAAGACTGATTGCCTATATATGACTAGCATATACAGCATATTATTATACATACCATATTTAATGACCCCGCTTTTCACTTGATTTACTACTACCTAGTGACTATAAACACTTTCCTGGTGGCTTTAATGTCTCAGTTTCTTATTTATCAAATTTCATTTTCATTTTATAAATTATCATGCCATTTAATTTAGTCACATTAGTGTAAATTGGACGTTAAATCAGGATGTGATTAGGGGCAGGCTCCGTCAAATTCACTTCTTACTCATCACGTCTTGTTTCAGCATGGTGAAAGCCAACATGCTCAAGTCCATATTTTCAGAATAGGACTTCAAAAATCACAAGTGATTTTGAATCCACCTTTTTCCGTATAGTCTTTGAAGTCCAGCGTTCAGGTGTTGTGATGGACACTGCAAAAATGCATATGTACAGACCAGAATTTTATTTTGTTCTATCATTTTTCTCTTATTATGAAAAGAAACTGAACAATCAGAAGCTAAAGGCGCAAGTTACTGTGTGTGATTCTAATGTTAAGCTGTGAATTATCACATTATTTGGATTTAGCTTAATATACATGGGTTGTCTTTTCTGTAGGCTTAACATATCTAATAAGTTCAAGTACTGGTGAAAGGTTTCAAGCCACCTTTCATTTCTTTATATTTTGTTTCCAATGAGCCAGAAGTTCTTTTAAAAGTGATCTTGAGCAATGCGTTCTGAAGCTTTCCGACGACCTTTGAAAGATTTTCGTTTTCAGTCATTTTCAGTTCAGACTTTGTAACTGACTATTTTCAGAGGAATATATTTTTTAACCACTTAACACTGACTTATGAAACATTAAATCATAAAAAATGCACCTTATTCAAGGGATGAAAGAATATTGTTGTGTTTACACATAACAGACAAACTGGCAAAGAACCAATTTTAAGTTGTATCTTTTAGCACTTTGTTACCAGCAGCCTGTCACAAAAACACATCATTTGTTCCCATTTCTTTAGTTCAATCTGTAAAAATGCCAAAGAAAACAGAGTTTGACAGACATGAAAACATATTGTTGCACCAATAAGTTGAATCCCAAAGATTCAAAAATCATCCTCCACTTCTCCAGAAAAAAGGAGAAATGTGGTGTGGCTCAAGACTTTGGCACAGTACTATAGAGATATATTTATGGCCAAAAAATGCTTTTATTTTTAATTATCTCATTATTAATTCTGAGAAAACCTAAAGCCTCAAACCATTTGTGACTTAGCATGGATTCAGCATTGTTTTTAGTCTCTTAATAACAAACCCCAGAATATATAGAACTGACTTCATCTGCTTCCTCCATCAGGCTGACCACTTCAGTCGATGCCGTGGTGGCAATCTGTGTTATTTTCGCCATGTCCTTCATCCCTGCTAGCTTCGTCCTCTACCTCATACAGGAGCGCGTGACCAAAGCCAAGCACCTGCAGTTCGTCAGTGGGGTCAGCCCTGTAGTTTACTGGGTGTCCAACTTCTTTTGGGACATGGTAAGTGAAGCTAGACTGGCTTAAGTGAAATGTAATAACTGTATGTTAATATATCCTATATCAGAGCTATTTTTCATAATATTGGATTTCTGTCTTCTTACTCACTCTTCATGTTTATCTAGATGAACTACACTCTCAGCTCTGCAATGGTAGTTGGCATTTTCATGGCTTTTGACAAAAAGTGTTACACATCACCATCCAACCTGCCAGCACTAATAGCACTCCTTTTGCTCTATGGGTAAGCTGTTGTTTACTTTAATTTGGTTCGGTTTTGTTGTTCTGTTGCTATGGTATAACAAGACAATAACCGAATAACTAAATAATTGACAAAAAGTTAATAGAAAAGTTAAAATTAAAAGTACAAACAAAGAAAAAAATATTTTAAATTGAGAATTTTTAAAAATATGTTGGTTTTTGTCTTTTAATCTCTTGCCTTTAGGTGGTCAGTGACACCCATGATGTATCCCTTGTCCTATATATTCAACATCCCGAGTACAGCATATGTGTCTCTGTCCTGCATCAACCTGTTCATAGGCATCAACAGCAGTGCCATCACTTTCATCCTGGAGCTGTTTGAAAACAATCGGGTATGTACTGATTAAAAATCATGTAGCCTTCTAACATTTCACTGCACTTAATGCTTATTTGAATTAATCATTACATCTTACATTATGTTTTGCATTTGCACAGTTATACTCACATTCCAGTTCAGCTTCACCAGTAACTACAGGGCAACATTTTCAGTGCTATTACTTTTGGAATGAAGCAGCCACAGCTGAATCGCATACATTTATAAAACATTACAAATGTTTTACAATAGTGAGAGAACATTTGAAAGCAAAGAATATAATTTTTGTGAAATAAACTGAATAATTCATGAAAAGTTAATAGATGGTGGTTTGATGAAGTAGCAAAACAGGATTCTGAATGAAGAAGATAGGACAAGACCTGTAAAGTCTAGACACTGGAGGATGAGTTGGATGAAACGGCAGGTGATGGTTTGATTGGGGATCAAAGACTGAGGTGATTTGAGTTTGAAAATTGGAAGTAAGATTGGATCAGAATTCTTCAGTGGGAAAGGAGATAAATAGAAGAGCAAGAACAGACCAACACATGAGTGCAGAAAGACATGAGAACACAAATGTTCCTTATTAAACTCACACAAAAGCTTTTTCATAAAACAATACAGTGATAAAACTGTCACCAAACAGTATTTTGTAACAGTGACTGTTTATATTCTAAAATATTATAATACAGCAATATTATGGTGTCATAATATCTACTATATAATATTATTATATGTATTGTAATATGACTGAGTGAATATTATGGTCATTTTATTCTTGCTCCCTGATGGCTGAATGAGTAAAATATGTTTTTAACCATATTTTTTGAATACATTCCTGCCCCCAAAGGATTTGAACACATGGCAGCTGATGTTTACCAGCAGGGACAGAATGATCAGAATTAGGATTAGAGTCAGGGGAGTGCTGTTGGAGAGTATATGGCTTTTTAGCATAGCAGGAAAGCACAGGTGTTACTCATCACATTAGGTGCAGATCTATACTAAGTCAGGACAATGTGACAGTCAGCTGGCATGCAGAGCACTAGAAACCTTACACTGAAGCAGTTAAGTGGAATTTCTCTTTTATAAAACAGCTATATAGTAGGTGCTTACACAAAAGCTGATCAATTGTTTGGCACAGCTGGGGAAGCATGAGGGAAGTTAAGCTGCTGGTCTGCAGGGCAGGGGATAACTAATAACTGCAGGGCTTTTAGACTCCTGATTGACAGTTTGGTGTGAACATGTAAGTCGACCACAACAACTGCCAACACCTATGCTGGCAAGTGGAAAATAAAGGAAAAAGAGAAGCAGAAGGAAACTGAAGTTGGAGGGAAAGGGCACATATGTGCAGATGTGCTCTCATCGTGACAGGTGACTGCCTGCTCAAAAAAAAGAAGAAAAAGAAAATGGAGATTGTCCTTCCCTCCAGATGGTTCTGTCCAATGCACATCTGTACACAGCTTCTCTCATGACATATGAGTCATGAGAGAAGCTGAAGGTCAAATGGGCTATATTTTTGTTGCCTGATATTTCCAAGGATTTCAGAGAATTTGTGCATTTCTATGGTGAAAAAACTGTTTGCTTTATACATGAATACATTTAAAACCCATTAAAAAATTAATTGCTATATTTTAGACTTATCTGTGTAGGCGAAGCAAGACATAAAAATGATCACTGGAAAGAAAGAGGTTTTATTTCAGCTGAAAAGAAGTATCGCTTTCTTAATTTCTAGAGTCTTGTTCTTTGGGAGAAAAATAGGAAACAGCTGAGGAAGGCTGTTCTTATATCAAATGTGCAATTAACATAAGAAAAGACATCTGCTCCAGTGTCAAGCATGACTGGGTGGTGGGTCTACTTTGAAGAAAATTTCAGCAACTTTTTAAAGTTTAACAAGGAGAAACTATGTTTATACCAATTTGATTTGGGAGCCCCTGGTTATGTCTCCCAAGTTAAATTGGTCCAGGCGCAGACCTAGCAATTCAGACAACCCCTAGAAAGACAGAAAAAAGAAACAAATGAACCTCACCTGGACTATGGATACCAGAACCTCGGCCTGGAAGAGTGGCAGCCAGACCTTAGCTTGTGGACCTTATTGGGCCTTCTTTGTACCCCATCTGTGGATTCCACTGTTCGGAAGTGCACTTGAAACCAGGATAGATGATCGATTTTGTAATCATCAATCTCTGGCTGTATGTTGTGTGAACTCAGGTGAAAAGAGGGTGAAATGTCAGCTGATTATCACTTATATGAGGTGTTTTGGGAGGAGAACCTAGAATAGACACAGGACATGCTAGAGAGATGTCTCTTGGCTTGAAAAGCTGGAGGAAATGACTGAGGAGAGGGAGGCCTGGACAGTTCTGCCCCCATGACCTGGATAAGTGGATGAATATATTTTAGGTCCTCAACTTTCCCTCAAAACCAAAGTAGAATATTTGCATTTCCTGGTCATGTATATGAGCTGTTCATTCTTAGAACATCTGATGCATTTCAACATTTTTTAGAAAAGATGTTGCAATTATGTGATATATTTTTATATTTAGATGCTTGAGGTAACTTAAACTCAATGTGTATATGTGTGTTTTTGTGTGGCCAGTCTTTGCTCGTGTTCAATGAGGGGCTGAAGAAAGTCCTGCTGGTGTTCCCTCACTTCTGCCTGGGACGGGGGCTGATAGACATGGCCATGAACCAGGCTGTTACTGACGTGTATGCCCGCTTTGGTATGTACTGTGTACCTATCCATCATTTTAGCTGATAAAATTTCATACTGTGTGATTTGTGAAAATATTCAAGCAAATTTTTACAAAATTGCTAATTTGGGTTCTTGTATTTTCTAGTAGTTTGTACTCTTAATACCACACTGTAGTGTCATGGCTGGGGTAGCAGACGTGTGGTGTTGAGAAGGAGGACCCAAGATGCAGGCATAGAATGTGATGCGAGTGAACTATTTACACGAGTGACAAAGTGGCAAAAACAGGAAGAGCAGAATGGGGAGTTAACAAAAGCTAAACTGGGGAAAACCAAAGAACTAACCTGAAACCATAAGAACACGGAGTGATGAACCAGGCAGAGAGACACAGAGTTACACAGATGACATGACCATAGGAGGGAAGCACAGCTGATCCTAATTCACATAATGATAGGAAGACACAAGCTGAACACAGTGAAGTCACACATGGATCTACAAAGTAAAACAGGAAGTATACACTGACGGAACAAAGAACACGAAACTGACCGGGAGCATAAACCATAACCAAAGAACTGAAACATCCAACCCCAAATACATAATCAGAATACATGAGATAATAATAACAATAATAATAACAATAACAACAACAAAACGCTGGGTCACCGATCCAGGACCATGACATGTAGATCTTCTAGGCTAGATTAAGCGTAGTGTTGTACCATCTGTACTGTCTATGCATGAAGTACCCTTTCACTCACTGAAAATTGTAGTAAAGTTTGAGTTTGGACCTCGTCTGTTTCCAGGTGAAGATTACACATTGGACCCTTTCCGATGGGACTTTGTGGGAAAAAATATTTCTTTCATGGCAGTGGAAGGCTTTGTTTATTTTATTCTTAATCTTCTGATCCAGTACAGATTCTTCCTGGACCACTGGTAAGAACACAGCTAAAAACACACTAGCTTAAAATTTAAATAAACAACAGTAACTTAACCATAGGGTTAGAATTTAGAGCAGAGGAGCTCTTTTGCACTAGAAGCTTCAGTGCTGATGATTTTTTTCCAAACCTCCCAGGTTGTCAGACTACAAGCAGAGTCCTGCACAAGATGAGGATGATGATGTTGCAGCAGAGAGGCAGAGGATTTACGATGGAGGGAACAAGGCTGACATTCTGCAGATCAGGGAACTCTCTAAGGTATACATTTTAATCAAACGACTAATTTCATATTTATTGTGATATTTCATTGCGCATTTTGGATTATAAGACTGTATGAAATAGAAGTTTCAAGGTTTCTTCCAGGCCAGTTTTGTTAATTTCATTTTCAGTTTCAGAATTAAATTTATTTCCAGACATCCTTTCATTTGTATTCACATCAGCATCCAGTTAAATGAAAAATTAAAAACAGAGGGGAAGGCACTAAAGGTTAGTATTCGTGGGAACATTCAGAAAAACTCCAGTGGGATAAGTACTGAATACAGAAAAGGTCGCCACACATTGGAATTACAGCTCCCTTTAATTTCATTAGCAATGTTTCTACCAGCTACAGGTCTCATCGTGCAAGTATCTGAAAAAGAAATAAAAGTTGTGAAATTCAAATTATAATGCAAAACAGCCCATAAATAACATAAGTAAATCCCTCTATGGAGACGGAGCAGGAAAGAAGCTGGGAGTTGTTTTGTTTTTGTTTGTGTCTCAAGTAACGCGAGAGTGCTTTCCCCATACCAGAATCATAGAACTTTTCTTAATAAATACTGGATAGCACACTTAATGCAGTGCTAAACATGAATTTAACTATTTTCCCAAAAAATCCACCACCTTTTTTAAACATAAATTCTTATTGTTCGAGCAGCACTACACAACTTAAATGTCTCCCTGCCTTCTCTGCACAGACGTATGTGGGCAGGAAGAGGGCAGCTGTGGACCGGATTTGTGTGGGAGTCCCTGCAGGAGAGGTAAAGTCACTGAGGACATTTATATTGAGACCTACTACTCTTTTCTATTTGCTGTCAGTTTTCTCTTTCTGCATCTCTTCAAATAAACTGACAAACTGATTTGGCATTAGAGCATTACAGCGGCATGGTAACACGCCTCGCAATTTGCAGTTCTATATTTATCTCTTCTAGTTAGTCTAATCAAGCTTGATCGAATGTGATGGAATATGAGTTTCATTCTATATAAATGGGAGTTTATTTAAGTGCATTCATAAGCCTGTTTGCGTTTTTTCCTGTTAGTGCTTTGGTCTCTTGGGAGTAAATGGAGCTGGGAAGACGACAACCTTCAAAATGCTAACTGGTGACACTGATGTCACCTCTGGAGAGGCTTCTGTGGCTGGTTACAGGTACATAAAGTTTATTCAAAAAAATGGTCCCTGGATAACAGAACACAAAATCTGTTCAGGCCTGCATCGGATGGAATTTATTCAAAAAATAGAAAACTTTGCTCTTAGTTTATCCTGCACACAGTTCCAGATGAGTGAAAACCAGAAACAGTTCACTGAATAAGACAGTTTGAATACGAGAAGGTCAACCTGACATTACCTGTGTGTTAACACCATCAGACTATTAAACTCATCACTGTGATACTCTGATTGGGGAAAAAACGCAGCCTAGGAGGGCTTGAATAACAATTAGATTTCAAAGTCTAAATTCTCATTTTGTCAAGGAGTTTCATGCCAGTTATTTGAAAATTCACAGTTTTCCCCTCAGAATACCTGCTCAGTTAAGTGGAAAATGTCTTTGAACAAAAATCTAGGGATTCAAAGAATGTGAAGCACCGATGTGTCAAATGATAGTAATTATTGTATGACAAATATGGGCATTAAATTAAATACACTTGACATAAAGATTAGGTAAGCAATGTTTTAGTCCCTTTCTATTGAGAGGAATCAGCTTCTGAGCTTCTTCAGATAGCTTTCTTAAATAATCACTATAGATCTGTCCCTTCTGGAATTGATTGATGTTTTGTTATTCCTACCATGTTAGGTGCTCCGTCAGCCCACTGCACTGAATTGCATTGTTTGTCCTGTTTTGTAGCATCTTGACAGAGATTCTGGATGTGCACCAGAACATGGGCTACTGCCCTCAGTTTGATGCCATCGATGAGCTTCTTACTGGCAGGGAACATCTCTACCTTTACGCTCGTCTCAGAGGGGTGCCCGAGTCAGAGATCCCCAGAGTGAGTTGGACTCCAGCTGCTTTACATATCGAACAGGCTAAGGATGTTTTTCACTCGGCTAGTCCAGTGACACTTTAGTTCAGCAAAGCAGTAGAAATCTGCTTTGTTCATAATGGTTTTGTTCTCTTTTTTTAAAATATTTGCCCATTCTTCTTTTCTGTACTAATTTTGCTCATGCATTTTATGATATTTTATGAAATGCTATCTTAACGGGTGGGTTGTCCATTATAAAAGATCACTGTTTTGGATTCAAGTAGCCACTAAAGATGAATCTTTTTCTCCATCTAGGTTGCAGAGTGGGGCATTCAGAAGCTGGGTCTGTCAGAATATGCAGGCCGCTGTGCGGGGACTTACAGCGGAGGCAACAAACGCAAACTCTCCACAGCTATTGCAATGATTGGTTGCCCGGCCCTGGTGCTGCTGGTGAGTTAGCCAGTGACGAAAAGCTCATGAGCCCATTGTTTGGGATTTTAAATTTTTATGCAGGGATTTATCAATGAAATGCTCTATGAATCCAGATGGGAAGCCATATGGGTTCAGTCAAGCCTGGCCTCGAATGTTTTATACACTGGCAAGCAACTGTGCAGATCAGTTCAAATTGGCATAAATCTGAGATCTTTGCCATATGCTGATAAAGAAAAGGTTTTGGTCTCTGTTTGCATGGAATTATGTGCTCAGACATTCAAGTTGGCTGTTTCTGGCTCTGTGCGTTTAGGACGAACCCACGACAGGGATGGATCCCCACTCTCGACGCTTCCTGTGGAATGCCATCATGAGTGTGATTCGGGATGGCAGGGCCGTGGTGCTAACGTCACACAGGTTCGCCTAATAATGAAATTAAAATCCTCTGGACACATTTGCTGCACCAGCTGACCAAACGGTTAACTGTTGATGAAATCATGGCTACATTTGCATTCACTTGATTTTGCCACAGAGGTCCATGAAATGATGATGCATTGCTCAAACATGAAACAGCAGCAGTAAAAATAAAGATGGATTATTGTTGTTTTTTTACCAGCATGGAGGAGTGTGAGGCTCTGTGCACTCGACTGGCCATCATGGTCAATGGAACCTTCAAGTGTCTGGGTACCATTCAGCATCTCAAATACAAGTAAGACATATTTTGACTGTTACTATTTAAATATATAAGTGGTCATTTAGTCACAGTGGCATTTTCTAGCTAATATCAACTAATGATAAGAGCACATAAGGAAACATGTTGAATGTTTTGATGCTGTTTCCTTCATTTAGATTTGGTGATGGCTACGTGGTCACAATGAAAATCAAGCCAGCTAAAGCAGGCTTGTCCCCAGAGCTGGAGCCTGTCGAGAGCTTTATGGAGACCAGTTTCCCTGGCTGTGTTCAGCGGGAGAAGCACTACAACACGCTGCAGTACGAGATCGCCTCATCCTCCCTAGCAAGGATATTTCAGCTGGTGGTGGCCAATAAAGACAGGCTCAGCATCGAAGACTACTCTGTTTCCCAGACAACACTGGATCAGGTTTGGATGACATACAACAATGAGAAATGACACTGTGTTAATAAAACGGAAGGGTATTTGTCCCATGACAAGGAGGCAATAACTGTCAGTTTTTGTCATAGATGAAAATATTCAATCTTTAGGTTGCAATTTTTGTCATTTATAAAGAGTACATAAATAACTAAACATATTATGCATGTAATGGAGTTTTACCATGAACAGCTAGAACTCTTATGAAAACATATTTCATATAATAGCATGGTTTATTTAAACACCATTGTGTACACACATCTTCCCCTCCATAGGAGAGATTATAGTTGTTGATAAATATATTCATAATCTGCTAATAACTGCTGTTGTAAGCCTGACATTTAAATATCACTTATGTAGAGCTGGATATAAATAAATTATGATTCAATCCTATGCATTATAATTTATCACTTGCATTAAAATGTTGGCGCACTTTCGGTTTTTCAGGTGTTTGTCAACTTTGCTAAGCAACAGGCCGGAGAGGACGAGGAGTTAACGCTACACAGACGAACGGCAGGTGGAAGAAAAGACATCAAGGTCTCACCGGTTAAGAGGAAAACATGAAAAAGTCATGCAAATGTAGAGGCGTTACTCCGCAGGGCAGTAATATACTGTAAAGCCACACACCGAAATTCAACAACTTTAAATGTTTTGCTAGCCAGCTGTTTTTTTTTTTAGAGTAGAGGTGAATGTGACCAGCTCCCTGCCAAACTGACCCGTGGAAGAGTTTGCTTCTCGAGCTACAATCAAACTTGACAAGCTCTTGTCTGCAAGTGGAGAGTCATCTTATATAACTTTTAAAAATCAATAATGTCTGACACATTGCTTTGACCTGACACTTTCCGAATTACTTTAAACTTCAAGCTAAACACAAGATTCTTCTGGAAAAAATTGAGTTTTTTCTGCTTAGACTGACTGGCTTGTATAAAAGTGTACATATTGTATGTTTAATGAATACACTAACAAATACCCTGTTAAGCATTATTTTTATTGTCTATTATAATGAACACCTGTCACTTTTATATATAATATTTAAATGAAGACTCATGCTATGTATTGTTGAACTGTCTAAATGCAAAACATGTTTACGATTGATTCTGTTCTTGTCAGTATTTTTTTGTTGTAATTTTATTACTATTTTCTGCTGTCTTTTACATCTACGTGCTTTGTCAAATAGCACAATGTTTTCCTCTTGGAAAAAAAAAACGTATAAAGAAGCATAGCAAGGCTGAAGAGGGAATCTATTTTGCAACTGACATCTGTTTAACATGCTTTCCACATGCTCTGTGCAGTCCCTTCTAGCTGATTCGCACTTCCATCAGTCACAAATAAAGGAGTTTCATGAGCTATATATGAAGTGTGGTGTAATGTAAATGTGAAGTGCTGTATTTCCTATTAAATATTTCAGCCTTCCCGTGCTTCTTTCAAAGCTCCTTGGTGTTATGGTGGGATGCTCAAAAAGAGGAACTGAAAGGCTTTTCACATTGCTGACCTACAGTGACTCCACTGACCTCCATTCTAAAGCTAAGGAAGCAACTACGCAGATCAGTTGAGTCAGTGGCTACGAGACGGCTTTGCATCGGGGGCCAAGGCGACACTGTGCTGAGTGGCTTGTCACAACCTGGATTTTTCTGACACATAGTCCAATTACTGTTCTCCTTCAGTGAGTGGTGGTGTCATTGCCTCAGGCTGCCCATAAGTCTGAATTCCATTGGCTACCTCAAAGAAACAGAAGGATGATGGCACTGTGCAATTTCAAGGCTGCTAATGAATTCTCTGGTGGGGATCTGATGCTCACTCTCTGCCCATATGGTCATCTGGATGAGGCTGATGAGCATGAGTAGCACGCTGTGGGAGAGCAAACAAGTCATGCATCAACAGTGCGTCCGGAAAGTATTCACAGAACTTCACTTGTTCCACATTTAATGATGTTATAGCCTTATTCCAAAATGGATTCAATTCATTTTTCACTTCAAAATTCTACATACAATAGCCCATAATGACAAAGTGGGGAAAAAACGTTTCCTTGAAATTCTTGCAAATACAGTACGATGGTTAGTACTGTCTCACAGTAAGAAGATCCTGGGTTAAAATCCACCATCTGGCCGGGGCCTTTGTGTGTGCAGTTTGCAGATTCTCCCCATGTTTGCAGTCTAAAGACATGCACCTAGTGGGGTTAGGTTAATTGGTGATTCTAAATTGTCCATAGGTGTGGATTCGAGTGCAAATGTCTCTGTGTTAGGCCTGCAGCAGACTGGCAACCTGTCCATGGTGTACTCTGCCTTTCACCCTATGGTAGCTGAGATCTGCTCCAGCCCCCCCTGCAACCCTGAATGGATGTATGGATGGATATTACAAATAAAAGACATAAAATGACAAATGATCATCTGTCAGATGTTCCTACAACCTGATTGGAGTACACCTGTGGGAAAGTCAGGTGACTTGACAAAATTTAGAAAAGCACATATCTGTCGACATAAGATAGTTCACAGTGCATGTCAAAGCACAAACCAGGCCATGAAGTTCAATACTGTCTACAGACAATTGTCTGTACATCAGAGACAAGATTATTTTGACGTACAGATCTGCAGAAGGATACAGTGGCCTCCATCATCTTTACACGGAACCACATTTTGGAACCCCAGGACTCTTCCCAGAACTAAGGCTGAGCGATTGGGGTTGAAAGCCCTTAGTTAGGCTCAAGGCAAAGATGAATGTAGCAATATACAGATATATTCTTGATGAAAGTGCAGAGTGCTCAGGACCTTGAACTGGGACAAAGGTTCATCTTCAAACAGGACAATGACTCTAAGCAGCCAGCCAAGATAACAAAGGAGTAACTTCAGCACGACTCTCTGGACAGATCTGATAATGGCTGTGTACCAAAGCCACCCATCAAACTTGATGGAGTTCATGAGGTTCTGTAAAGAAGAATGGGAGAAAATGCCCAAAAATAGGAATGCCAAGCTCGTAGCATCACACTCAAAAAGACCTGAGGCAGTAATTGGTACCAAAGGTGCTTCAAGGAAGTACTGAGCAAAGGCTGTGAATACTTATGTACATGTTACATTTTACTTCTTTATGTCTATACTTATAGATATCTATTACTTACATTGGAATAGTAGTGGTAGAATAGTTAAATTTATGTCTTGCATATTTCCACAACCATATCCATAATCACATACCGTGTATGCCACCGTTGTATAGTGTATTATCTTACTTATTTTATATTTGTTTGTATTTTCCTTCTGCTATCAGTACCTGAGCTGAGGTAACGTAAGAATTTTCCCACCGTGGGATCAATAAAGTCTTATCTTATCTTATGTTTTACAAATTTGCAGAGAATTTCAAGCTAAAATGTTTTCACTTTGTCATGGTGAGGTATTGTGTGTAGACTTTCAAGGTAAAAAAAAAAAGAATTTTAGAACAAGGTGTTAATATGACAACATATGGATCAAATGAAGCGCTGTGAATAATGTCTGGATGCCTGTTGTTGAATCCTGAATGAGGCCAACTTAAACACTGAGATTATCTTCAGTGCAGCTGAATCAAGAAGCCACATTTTGAATATACAGAACAGTGTGGAAAACTTAAACCTGTATTATTACATTTTAACTTTCATTTTATTCATTTATCTTTATTTTTTTACACTGCAACTCAAGACCAGAAATCTTATCTTATCATCTTATCCCAGCTGTCACAGGCCAAGAGACAGGGTACAGTTTTCCAATCTGTCACAGACGCCTCTTTCTGTCATGTTGGGTGACATAAACTGTGTTTCACAAATTTTTTTTTCATATGATGTAGTAGCAAATACTGTATTTTCCATAGCAGCATATTGAATTGAGAGCATTATACTGAGTTACAAGAAATTAAACATGTTACATAATTGAAATGTCCTCTTTTGTGATCAGATTAACCATTAGGTCATGCCATAGTTGTTCTCTTATTTAAAGCCCTTTTTTCTGATCTTGTGGAAAGAAAATCACTCTACTGGAACTGTTGTTAATGTCAAACTTCTTGATGCTTGTTTTAATTTGTCTCTTTTCCATCATGCCTGTCAGCCAATTGCCCATAACTGGAATTTAATAGTCTTTCAAGCCCTTGAAAAAGAGGTTTCCTGTTATTTCCAGTAAAAAATCTCTTAATCCATGTGATGCTTACATCTGATTATCAGATATTCTTGCAAAGTGTTGTGTATGTGCACCAGCAGCCACGCAAGATTTTCTGCAACAAAGATAAATACTCTTGTGTGAAACACGCCATGGTAATAAATACACAAATCTGACAAGGCTTACTATCTGATACTGATTTCTCTTTGACACCCTTTGGTGTCAGACAAATACACAGTGACGAACTTATCAAGACCTTTTCAAACAGCATCATTAAAGCATGTAGAAATGGCATCTTTAGATGTTCAAGCTGCCTGCGGTGTGATGCAATCAGGAGCACTCACGCACTTTAAATGAAAAAGGGCTCAACAACAATTTGAAATGTTAGTTAACTAGTCATAGGGGGTGTTACTGTGCCTGTGGAAAAGTGAGTATTGTGGCTGCTGTGGGTCTTAGGGAGCTTTGCCACTTCAGTGGATACGCTGAGAAAGTTAAGAGCAAGAGAAGCCACTGTTACATGCTGTTACATGCTGCTGCTGTGGACCTGAAATGAAATGGACGTTTTCAAATGTGCCACAGTGACCATTAGGATTATAGAAGGTGTAGGAAAGAGTGTTTAAATCTCTTCTGCATGCATTCAGATTGTTTTAGTAAGCAGATTTTAGTGATCCATTGATGATTTGTAATTTGCATGCAAAGCTTAAGTCATGTCTCACTGCATGCAGTGGACAAGGGGTCCTTTTGAGTTTAATGCTATTTTTTAATCTTTTCTTTCTTTCTTTTTTTTAAACTTGGGGGTCAGAGCGGCAGATATTTTGTGTCACAAGTTTAATTGGGAGCATAGTTGAAGGATGGACTCGGAGAAGGTTAGTGGTGTATCTGTGTTCAGAGAGGGGAGTGAATAAACTTCTGGATGAAAGACGGCGCTTCCGTCTGAGGTTAAGCTGATGAAAATTGTGTATTGAAGTTGGTGAACATTATTTTTATTATGTGAGAGAGTTAGGAATTGGAAAAGGAGAGCCAGACATTGGACTGATACTTATACAGCACCTTTCCACTCAAATTCCACACTTTCTACTACAAGTGAGTAATTCCTACACACAAATATTCCTGTAGCACTTTTGTCTATGCCTAAGCACATTCTGATATTCACATAAATGCAATGGGGGCAATGTGGGGTATCTTCCCCAAGAATACTTTGTCGCGTGGACTGCAAGAGTCTGGGATTGACTCACCTGATCCAGTTTCCTACAGGAGGAAATAGTTGGCTTGATTTCTGTGGACAAAAGGACCTTAGTTAGTTTTACTGACTAGTTTTTCTTTTTCTCCCCCTCTTTTTTGGATTAGCATCTTCCAATTTTTCCCACTCTTTTAATTTGCTTTCAAAGTGTTCCTTTACCATTTTTAAACAGTGTATATATGATAGCAACTATCTGTAAGTGTTGAGCAGCACCATCCTCTGACATGTAGACGTTGCTGTGTGACTGATGAAAAGTATGGAAAGCAAAGACAATATTGAAACATTTTGCAATCTTGGAATGATTTCAATTATGTTCACTCAGCTCTGCAAAGTTTTTGTCTTCTTTTTCTTTTCCACCTTCTTCTTGGTTGGTATGCGGGATTTGCATATATAACAGATATAGTGTTGCAACACTTGGTTGACCATCTATACCTAAAGTAAGTGGATAAAATGTCAGGTGTTGCATTTTTGGATTTGACAGTATATTTTATTTTGCTCACCGACATGTCAGTTGTATTTATCATTTACTCCATAGCTGACATTTCAACAGTTTTCATCTGACTCTACATACTCCGTGTTTGTCAGCATTTACACATCCAGTGGCATTTTCATTGCCTTCATTCCTTAAACTGAGTGATCATCAGCTTTAGGTGGTAATCCAGGTGATGTCTCAGATATCTCAGCTGCTCTCAAACACAAGGTCTTTACCTTTGAATCAAAAAGTATTTCACAACTTACACATTGAAGCAGAATTCATGTATTTTCCAAGCTAGAACTTAAACTCACTTTAACGGATTGCATTTTTAGTGATTCTTCAGCTAAAATTTAAAGCTGCTATAATTGCGTTTTTCCATAATTACCAAACTGTCATCTGCAATCCATATTCTGGCTACACCAGAAGCTCCAGTTGCTCAATTGCAGACTCAGTATCTGATGGCCAAACATAGAGGTGGGATGGTAAAGACCTAAAACAGAGTGAATAGACTTACATTTACACGC